TGTTCAATTTGTAACAATGAAAAGACATCCTGCATATCAGATATTTACATTACAATTCATAACAGTAGCAAAATTACAGTTATGAAGTAGCCACAAAAATAATTTTATGGTTGGGGGTCACCACAACATGAAGAACTGTATTAAAGGGTCATGGCATTAGGAAGGTTGAGAACCACTGTCTTAGAGGATCTGCTTTACTTTCATTGGCCAAAGCAAGTGGTGTAGCTAAGGTGATGTCAATGGGATGGGAAACTCTAATCTACCATCAGGGAGAGGCAGCCAATAATTTATATACAATGCAGTCTACCACAACCCTTTTGCCTAATTTAGATGACCTAGCTAGTCTCCACAGACATTTGAGAGAATGACTACTTTAGCCTAGGGAACTTGAGAGTTCAAAGTTTTATTATAGTTAAAAGCATGAGAATTACTCTAAAGCTTACTGTACTACAGTTGTCCCCACTATATCCATCTATCCATGTAAGCATCTGTCTATATGTCTATCTCTCTATCAGCCTTGAATCGGATAAGGTTTTTGCAGGCTTTTCCTTAGATACCCTTTACTTGCTTTAGGCTCTACCCAAGCAAGGCACATTGACATGATGGCAGGTTAGCAAGCCAGGCTCTCATGAGGCAGCTCTGGGTCTGCTCCTTTCTGCACTCGAGCACTGCCGTCCATGGGTAGGTTGTGCACCCAAACTGAGCCATCAGTGTGTCCTACAGCATGGCTGGAGTCTGGTAAAACTTAACTATAGAGAACAAGTAAATGATTAGCATGTGAAGCTGAATGTTGATTACACCCTCTGTGCACCCAGCTCTCCTCTTGGGACTGTGGAAAGCACAAGATATCCAGAGAAACCATTAAGGATGTGGATTTGAATGCTGAATCATGGGGCACTCACTTAGTTTGCATGAGTTGCCAGTGTGGGTTGGTGTCAGCAGGATGGACTCTGTGAAGAGGTCAGAATCGTGAAGGACTGGATATAAAGTAAAGAACATTGAGTATGAGTTCAAAGTTTCAACTGGTTCCATCTAAATCTGGAGTTTTTGGAAGCGAGATGGGCTTGCAGAGCTGTTTAAATACCTTTGAAATGTTTCAGAAGTTTTCTACCAAAATTGATGTTTTTGTCAGGCCTTGAGTCTCACTTAATTGTGAACGTGCAATGGCTCCACTCAGCAGAGCTGGCTTTTTCCTTTCCCAGGAGCTTTCAACTTCACACAGAGACTGTTTGTGTTCTTCTCACTTGGAAAATAGTGGGCAGGGAAGGGATGTATACTGTACCTGGGAGAGCATCTGAAAAGTGGCAGGCATTCAACACATGTTGAATGAGGTGGGTGGATGGATGGGTTTGGAAAAACCACATGATCTACCTTTCTCTTCTCCCTTCTTTATTCCATCTTCTGCTTGACACTGAGGATAAAAATAGGTAGATGTTTTGCTTGCCATAAAAAGAACTCAAGCACGAACACATCTTTTTGCTGCCTTCTCCTTCTCCCAATCCAATCAAACAGAGACTGGGAATAGAAATGAATAAAGTAGATTGGGTTTTGGAGGCAAGAGGAAAAGGAGGGACAATGGTGAACAAGAAAACACATGCTTGTCCAAACATGGCAGGTGTACTTTTGCTCCAAGTAGTTGTTATCATAAGGGATCTCAGAAACAACATTGTCACTTCCTTAGATTTTAAAGAGAATTCAAATTTCATTTTTAAAAAATCTAAAATCTCCTGATTAAAAAAAATGTTGGCCATCTTTTTTCAAATTCTGTTTGGTCTAAACAAAACACCTTTGCAGGCAGTATGCATCCCAGGGATTCCTAGGATGTAATTTCTGTACCTTCTTGTCTTTAACCAACCCAACAAACACTGGCAACACTGAGGTGGGATTGTTGAGGTAGGCAGAGTTTTAAAAACTTTGGATACCATGTCTGAAAGAGAGGCGACGAATCTGATTCATTCATAGAGATTAGGGATCATGGCAAGGTCTCCACACTCTTGCCTGGATTCTCCATGGCCAGTCAGTGATGACGACGAGGACAGTAGCCCATCACTATGGGAACGATGCCTGATTCAGCAGCATGACTGGTGTGCTGTTTGCTGGTGTGGTATTGGATAGCCCAATTATTTAAGACTTTGTGGCTAATAAGGGATTGTGCAGCTGGAAAGGGCTAGATGGTGAAACAAGTTAGTTCTCAGTGAATGAAGTTATTAGACTCAAAAGCTGTGCTTTCCTTTAATTTCCAACCTGCTTGAGCCTGTAAAGAAAATGGTGCGCAAGACGGTGCACAGAGTAACATTTCCCATTTACTGTTCTTTGCCCTATGATGTTTGACTCATTCATGTACTCAAATACTTACTGAGCACCTACTGTGGATGCAGCAGAACAAAGTCCCTGCTCTCAGGGAGCACAGTCTAGTCTGAGGACCTGGTAGTGTGCCTCAGATGCAGGAAGCCTGTAAGTCCTCATTCCTTCCCAGCTCTCAGAATTATGCCATTGCTTGAGTTAGATTTCAGAAGAGAAGTGGATGATGTTGGGGGAAAGTAGGCAGGGACCTCACTTATTTTTCTGGGATACAGACAGGGCGTTTTAAGGTAGTCCTGGAGAAAAAGACCTGACAGTTCCCTTCTTGCTTCTGGTGTACCTTTCATGGCCTAGTGCAGGGGTGGGCAAACTTCTTGACTCGAGGGCCACAATGGGTTCTTAAACTGGACCGGAGGGCCGGAACAAAAGCATGGATGGAGTGTTTGTGTGAACTAATATAAATTCAAAGTAAACATCATTACATAAAAGGGTACGGTCTTTTTCTTTTTTAGTTTTATTCATTTCAAACGGGCCGGATCCGGCCCGCGGGCCGTAGTTTGCCCACGGCTGGCCTAGTGCTTCTTCCCACCGCCTTTATAATCCTCTCAGCATGTTCAGCTGTGCTTTGCTTTGGAACTCCTTTGAGGAATTAGGAGTCTCAGGATGTCCTGTTGGAAATGCAACCCTTGGGGTATTTATTCCTTAATGCAGAAAGCACCAAGGAATGAAGGGTAAAATTTCTTCACTGCAGGATCACCTAGTCGTGCATTTTACTCGTGGCTGTCGGTCATTGAGTGTGGCAGATATAATGGTAAATTTCATTTTGGTCTATTTTGAATGGTCTGCATTTAACTGTTAAAGAACCAAAGGCTATAGGACCTACTACTAAGGATGTTAGTCAGAATCCATTCTGTTATTCATTTATTTTGTATTGGTGCATGGTTAGCTAGGTAATCACGTAAATTAATTATGCCACTGTCTTTTCTTTCTTTCTTTTTTTTTTGGTCTCTGTTACTAAAAGAACTCTTGTAAAGTCTGGTTCAAATCTCAATGTTAGACATGTTTATTTCTGGACTATTTGATCATAAATTCATGAGCAAGGAGCAGTGCCATATGACTAGGAAATTACACACCTTTTAAAATGCCAGAATCAAGAACACCGAGACTCACTCAGGAAGTTAGCTTTTGGATCAGTGGCTTCTTCAGAGAATTATCACCTCGGCAATTTATATTTCTGAGCTTCTCACATATCCCTGCTGTGACCTGATGCTCATAAAGACAAGCAAACAACTTTTTTTATTTGCCCTGGAGAAAAACCTGTCTTGATAGAACCCAGGAGAATACCAAATGAACATGTTGGAATACCAGGACACTGTGGTAGTATTTATTAATAGAGGAAAGAAGCTGGCTGCTTATGTGTTCAGTGAAGTAGGTCCCTCTTAGGAATGGTAGAATAACCCTGCACAGTATATTGCCATAACTTGGCAATTTAATAGTGATAATACATTTTAATTGAACAAACTCAGGAATTTGGTAAGAATATAAAATTGAAAACCAGCAAATATCAGGAATCTTATCATTAAATTTTTTTCCCCCTCAATTGAGGAAAAAGCTTAAATTTTATAAGCCAGCAGATCAAAGACAGTATTAGGAATATATAACATATGCTCCCAATTCAATCCATGCATACACATATATACATATACGCAGATGCAAATAAAATCTTGATCATCCTATTTTGGCTACTTCTCTAATTAAATTTATGAACTTTTGCTTGACCTTAAGTTTAGCTCATCAGATAGTCCTGAAGTCAAGTTTTCAGGTATATACACATAACACCCATTTAATACCCAGACAAGCACACTTCAAGCTTCTAGTTCAGAATAAACACCTTTTTGTCAAGGACTGTGCCTCCACAATTCGTAACTCTTATATGGGAAGTTAGGACACCCGGATTCTGATCCTCGTTTAACAGAGAGGCTTTGGGGGCAAGTTTCTTTTAAAAACCTTTCCTCCTGGGTAGATTGGGGTGGGGGGAATGTCATAGGATAATTTTGCTGCAGGGGGAGGGGCACATTCCATATTTGTCTCTCCTCCGTTCCACTGTTCTCTAAAAAATCAATGAAAAAATATCCTCTGGTGAGGATCAAAAAAAAATAAAAATAAAAAATAAAAATAAAGATAATGAGACAGACTGTGGTGCTTGCAGACCATACACCTGGCTGGAGAGGGCAACATGGCCCCAGAAGGTGCCTTCTGGCAGTGAGGCCAAATCTTTTCAAGAGAAGTTAGAAATCTGGTTACTGTGCAAAATTTCCTAACTTCTAAGCACTGACAATGAATGTCAATGGAAAAAACAAACAATTGCTTTGTGGGCTAAAACAGCGGCAAGTGGAGTGGTTCATTCTGGACATGCCGGTTCTAATAGCTCCAACTTCCCACTTTTGAGGGGTGGTGGTGGGACAGCCCAACCCAGATGTGGGCAAAGATCAATTGTCATTGATCTTTAATTCATGGCTCCTCTATGAAATGCTCCAAATTTTTGTAGATTGGGAGTTTGCAGGGCAGAACGGAATGTTAGGGGGACTATCTCCTTAGTGACCACAGAGGCAGAGGCACCAATAGGATTGGTGAGGAGGATCGGTGCTGCCAAATGCTAAGGAGTTAGGCAATGATCTTCTGCCAGAGAACACAAGGACAGGTGAAGAGTTTAACACAATTTATTTTATGCTTAAATAATCGACTAGGTCATCCAGTGTATGGTTTTTCATACATATGTCATTAGAGCTATGTGTCCATGAATGCTGATTTCATATGAATATAATCAACAAATTAAAGAATTTCACCAAAACCCAAATAAAAATGCCCTTTAAAACACTGCAGCCTTATTAACCTAGTATGACACTGCTAGAATGGTTACAAATGATTGGCTTACTGAAAGGTGTCTACATCTTATAGCCAGTACACGATACAGTGATAATTTTACAGCGTGCTGCCATTCTACTAGCTAAGGATTTCTGTTCAGTCCATTTTAAACACCCCTGACTGGGGCCTCTTATGAGCACCATCCACCTCTAAAGCGGCAAGCATTACCCCCCTTTTAAGCACTAACAGAGAGCACCCCCTCCCCCTAAAGCAACTACTGTATAGGTTTTTTTTTTTCCATTTTTAGGTCATTTAATTGGAAAATTGGCAATAGCAACAAATATTAGATGAAGGGCTTTTTGTTTACAGATAAAATCTTCTGTGTTGCAGTATACGGTAGTGTTTGCAAAATTGGAAAAGATTTAATCAAAATAAGGTGATACACATGCATCAAAATATTAGTATTCTGAAGAAAATTTTTTTTCACAGAACTACAGAATTCCTCATTTTGGGAATTATTTAAATTTGCAGCAGATTTTAAAGATTTGCTTTTTTAAAATCAAGCTAGCAGTTTTGCATATACAAACATTATAATTGCTAATATACAAGAATCAGTAAAGGTCCCCCCCACCCAGAACCCCTCCCTCCTCTTCTAGGGTGAAGTCCCTTGAGACCTCTATGATGTTAAATGCATTTGCAATATTCTGTTTGTGTTCTAAGAGGCAGTGCCTTATCAACATTTATTCTATTTTTCTGTTAGAATTTATACACTGTTATTATTTACAGCAAAACTATAGATGTTTTAAAAAAGAAACAAATAGTGTTTATACCCTGACAGTTTGGGTCCAAGAAAAATAAGGCGAGCTGTTGTGGATTTAGTAATTTTAGTGTTTCTCTGTGATTTCATCAGTCCATCTCCTTCTGTTCCTTCTGGAGGCAGGAATTTCTTCCTTTTGTAAATGACACCAAGTCACTTGAGATAAACTGTTAACGGCATGGCTTCTTGTATATACACTGCATTGCTAATTGCACACGTGCCAATCCTGGGAATGAAAGTGAATTTCCATGCTCTGTAAGTTGGCTCATGCTAAATTAAAATGTGGGTGGTTTCCTTTTTCTCTTTTCTTTTTGTGTAAAAAAAAAAGAGTCATGCCATTAATGTGTGGAAGCAGCAAACACACACACACCCTTCTCCTCGAATCTTTACTTCCTGCTGACATGTCTTCCATGAATTTCTCAATACTGGCAGTAAAAACACATGATCCTGTGGAAAGACAGACAGTAAGTAGTGAGGTTAGCTTGCTTTCTTTTTTAAAAAATAGAGAACTTGTCTAAGCCTTCCTTGCCATTCAACAGAAAAGGCTCAGAGAATGGGGGTCCTGGGCCTCCTAATGGGGCGGGTTAGCATGAAACTTTGGACTCAGGCTATCTGCTAGATGCCTGAGAGGACAAGGCCCTGAGGTGTGCCGGAAAGCTCTTTGAAGGCAATGACCTCCCCTTGCTGATCCCGTGACCTCATGCAACTTTGTTTGCTCTATTTGTGGTTTTAGAGATTGAGTCAGAAAGACTTCTTCTAGGTCTTCGAGGGTCATTCACTCAGGCCCTTGGGGAAGCCCTGGGGGGCCTCTGGCTTATCTGTAAAATGAAGAGGCTGACAGGGGTGCTCTGAGATTTCCACCAACAGCAAATTAGCAGGGACATGAGGTTTTCATGGGCACAAAGGCAACCAGTCTTTCAAAAAGGGAGGACAGTGTTATTGCTTCATTACTATGAAATTGTTTTTCCATATGCACATTAAAATGGAAGACTATCTTCAGCCATTGGAAAGAATACTTTCCCCTTTCCTGCCCCACATCAGTCGTGACAGGATAAATTAATTTTGAGTTCTGGGTGTTTTTTTTAGGCTCCAGTAAGATTGTCTTGTCTTACTCGATAATACCTGCATAAAGTTATATAGCTGCTCTTAATATGTCAACATAAATCAACATTCTTTGGCAAAGGTTTTCATACTTTGGTGCAGTATGTATTGTTCTTGGTATGAACTTTTTCTCCATAAAATAAAATTATTCCCACATCTAGTCCTTTGTCAGTGTGAAGGTGACAAACTTGAATGCCTGCCCAAGAACAAGACACAGCCCCTACAGAAAACTGAGAAAGGCAGGAACAATCCTGCTCACCAACATGTAAGCAGGTCTAGGATAACCTTTAGGATTATTTCTGTTAAGGCCCAAAAGTCTTCCCAGTGACCTTGATGTTGTTTACTTATCCTGGACAAGTTTCTTCCCCTTTGGATGGGTCACCCAGGATACCTTGGCTTATGTAAACATATTGGTACAGCACTTCCTTTGTCTGCTCTACTGCGGTTCAGGCTTCCTTTTTTGTATTAAAAGTGCTACCGACCTCCATGCCCCAGGTCATCAATGCTGAGAGCCAAGAACATCAAAGTATCAATTCCTTCTGGGGTGATTTCAACACCCGCCCCCTCCCATGGCTCTGAAGAAGCTCCAGGGAAGGAAAGTGACTCATTTGGATAGGCTCCATCCCAGAAGGTGTGCAAATCAGAGTAAGAAGATCAGGATTTTCTCACCTCTGTTTTTATATTATTCCTAATCTTCCAGGCACCAGGCTTCTTAGATGGTCCTATAGTGTTACCCTAGTGCTATCATGCTGTTTTCTTAGGGAGAATTTTCAGCAATTTTCTCTAATCAAACCCCTCCCACAGACCCCAGCTTTTAACAGCTTAAAGGATACATAATTTACATACCATACAATTCACCTATTGTAAATATAGTATATAGTTTGATAGTGTTTAGTAAATTTATGTAGATGGGCAACTCAATTGAACTTTATTTTTGCTTCATCTCTTCCAAAACCGAATCCAACTTCCAAGGATAACTCTGGCCATAAGGAGTAAGGTCTTTCTCTTTTATCACCCAATGCAAATGTCCATTATCTCTCTAGAAATAGTGAATATGTTTCTATAATTTTAAAAATGCTATTAATTATTCCCATTTATATTCAGGTATGATTTGAGTGATAGTTTAAAAAAAGTTGGGAATTAGTTCCCCTTATAAATCTCTCTTGTTCTCACACCAGAGTGTGTTGGCTCCAATCACACAGGGTGCAGGAAGGTCATCATTGGATAAAAGACTTTATGCCAAGTTGCACAAAAAGCATTAGAGCCTTGGCTGAGTGCTTCTTATAAAACATCGACATCCTGTATAAACTGTGATAAGAGCGACACCTGATGGAAAGTGTGAGAGGGCAGGAGCCATTAAGATGACATTTCAAAAAAAAAAAAGGACAAGTCATCTTCCCTTTCTGGGTTTAGATAATAGATTCCAGGTAGAAGCATTTGCATTTAGGAATCTGTCTTTGGGTTTTGCAGACCTTTCAAACACAAAGGTAGTAGAAACCAACTCAAGAAGTTAATCATTTCACTGTACTTTTCTTTTAGGAAACACTTTAAAATGTAGAAAAACAGCTATTGAGTGGATTTTCATGGCAGTTTATATTTTATAGATGAATGTTGCCCTTTCCAAATCACATGCTTGAGTTAGAATCAACCTTTCCTTACAGGTGTACATACAAGTGGTTTTTAGCTCCTAAGGTCTAGCTTAAAAAAATCATTGATGTCTGAAGCTTCTGTAGCCCAATGAAACTTTTCAGGCTTAATGCCCACTACTCTCCATCCGTTCTCACACTTGGGTGCACATTAGAATCATCTGCAGAGACTTAAAAAAAATCCCACTGTCCAGGCCATATGCCATTCCAGTTTATTTAGAATTTCTTGGGGGCAGAACCCAATATCCAAAAAACAAAAAAAAACCCCTCAAAACTTAAAAAAAAAAGCGCTTCCTAGAGGATTCCAGTGGTCAATCCAGTTTGATAGCCAGTTATACACTGAGTGGCCAGATTATTATGACCACCCCATCAGTACAATGAAGTGAATTAGTTATGCAAATAATAATAAAACCTTGAGAGTATTTGCTTAAGGAAGTTTTCAATATTCAGTATTTTTGAAGTGTCAATGAAGTACTGATGGGGTGGTCATAATAATCTGGCCACTCAGTGTATGTCTGGAGCAGCAATTCTCAGTTTGATGTGCATATGTATCACCTAGGGATCTTCAAATGCGGATTCTGATTCAGTAGTTTGGGGTAAACTCAAAGATTCTGTGTTTCTAACAGGATTCGATGATACTGCTAGTCCATAGGCTGCACACAGCAGGAGGATCTAGAGCAGGGGTGAGGAACGTCTGGCCCTGCCAAGGCTGGTTTTTTAAGTTGGTAATTTTGTATTGCCCTCGAATGATATTATAAATATCCAAATGGCTCTTGGCAGATAAAAGGTTCCCCACCCCTGATCTAGAGGATCAAGATTACATGTCTGTCATCAACACATTGGTCTCCAACTTTTCCTTTGCTCATGACTTTGCATCCACTTATACTTCCCTTCCCTAATCTTCATCTATATCTAACTCTCTCTACCCTTCAAGTTTGTTTCAAGTGCCATCTCCTTGAAAGTGCAGACTGCTTTCCCTAATGAGACCCACCTTTGCAGGTTAACGCTTACTCATCTTTAAAGATTTAGCTCTCCTGTGGCCTCAGAAAAGCCTTTTCTGATAGGCCTTCCCTAGAGCCCACTGAGAACACAGCATTCGTTAATGCTACTCCTTTCTCTCTTTCCTTCTCGTTGGATCCTGGGTTTTGTATTTTTAGCCCTTGAACAACATTTGTCCCAACTCGTTCCTCCTTGCAAGATAAGAGTTCCAGAAGGACAGGCAGCATGGAGGTTTCTTCATGATTGCATATCTACCCTTTTCATTCTTCACCAAGTGAAAGGTCAAATATCTTTTTAAGGAATAAATATAATTAGTCAACTTTTGACTCAGATAAATTATGGCCCTGGCAAGCTTGGGCACTGTTGCCACTCTTGGCTTCCATATGGCTGTGAGATCCTGAGCATTTCCCCCAGAGGCTTGGAATACAGCTATCCTGCAGTTTTTACAGCTTCTTTCTGGGGACCTTCCCTTGCCACCGACTCACTAATCAGCCCTCTAATGGTACATTTGAAGTAAATGTTTTATAGATGATGGCTACCTTAAAAATGAAAGTTTGCTTTACTTAAACCCCCCCCCCAAAACAGTTTTTACTATGTAGAGTATGAAGAAATTTACTACAGGTTGCCTTTGTATAAACTTTGATTCAAAGTTTGCTTTTAGGTCTTTAAGTCATTGAATACTATTAAACTATTAATATAAGTAATAGTTAATAACTAGGTTCTGGATAAGTTCAAATTTCATAGCTTTTGCTCATTAGCTGTAGGACCTTAGGTAAGTCATTTAAATTTTAAAACTTCAGTTTCCTCATTTATAAGAAAGGATGGTAGTACTTACCCTATAGTATTATTTTGGGGATTATATGAATGGGGGGTATATAATAACCTTACCTAGTACTTGTCATACAGTAATCACTTGATAGAATGACTATTATTCATAAATCATTTTAGAAAGTCAGGTTGGTGTAACAGAAAGGGCACTACTAGGCAAGAGTATCAGTCATGAGCTTGTGACAGCAGAAACGTCACCTGACATCTCTGAGCCTCGGTATCTTCATCTCTAAAAGGAAGTAAACAAAATTGGTCTGACCTGCTTCAAGGCTTGTTTGAAGGACTACACAAGAAGAAAATGGAAAAGCACTATAAATCACTATATACTACTTGCCACTTAGAAAGCACTATAAACTATAAATCACTATATACTACATACAAATCTTTATAGTGATTTTAAGCCATTGGCTTTTCCCTTACATTAAAAGTAGGATGGTTGTGGCTCAGTATTGAAGAAAAGCAGGTGCAGGGTTCAGATAACTCAAAATTAAACTGGCTGTACAATGGGAAATAAAAATTTGATGTCACTGTCTGAGACTCAATGAAATTTGAAAAGTATTCTGCTTGCTTAGTTCTGTTTTTTGTTGTTTTTTTTTAAAGGCAGCCAGCAGGGCTATAAAATTTCTCAATCTGTTTGCAGATTGGTTTTTCCAGAGCACACGTTCAGTGTCCTGGAATTCTAGGCAGTATTCTTGGACTCATTTCCCAGGTTCACTATGGAAGGTAAATACCACCCTGGAGAGTAGACTGGGGCTTGCAGTCAAATTGCCATTCTTTCCATCTGACACACTGAGTTTGCTCTACCCTGAAGTTATTCCCATATTCATATGAATTCTCCTACTGAGTTTCTCTCTCCTTTGAGGGGTATAGCAAGTTAGCCCAGGCCCTGACAACTTCTTAACAAAGTGTATTATTTATAATTTTAAAGCCTCTTGTATATTTATTGAGCAAGTTGCTTCTCTGCTAATACTCTCTAAAGGACTTTGGATGCACAGCACTGTCATATAGTTTTTGGCATCATTTATTCATGGATATTAAATATAAAAATGGCCCAGCTAATGTAGGTGACACTTCTAGTTCTTTTTTTTTTTAACATATTTTTATTGATTTCAGAGAAGAAGGGAAAGGGAGAGCGAAAGATGGAAACATCTATGATGAGAGAGAATCATTGATTGGCTGCCTCTTTCATGTCCCCCACTGGGGATCGAGCCCACAACCCAGGAATGTGCCCTTGACCGGAATCAAACCTGGGACCCTTCAGTCCACAGGCCGACACTCTATTCATTGAGCCAAACCGGCTAGGGCCACTTCTGGTTCTTTTCCATCTGGTGTCTGAGTCTATGACTGAATGAGATGTTAAACTTTAAGGGACACACTATAAGGGTCATACTGAAGCTGATTGACCTAGTTTCTATTTTCACTTCACTTATCACTTACTAGTAGAATTGCTTAAATAGACCAATTCAAGACAGCAAACTGATGTTCGGTGTTTTAGTAATTTGCTACCTAATGTCTTCATCAAGTTTAGCTGTATGACATGCATAATAGGTAGGTTCATTCTAGATATTGTTACACTGATGTCATCCTTAATTATCCAATCTCTTACCCTTATCAGCCAATAAAAACCAAATCATGTTGCTCTCTCTCAATTCATCCTACCTTTTACCATCCTCACTGCCCAAGCCAGGATCTACCATAGTCTCTTCACAGGTTTTCTTGTCATCCATCATTGCCACTTCTGATTGAGTCTCTGCCCTGCAGCTAGAGTGAGTGATGCAGAACACAGCCTGCATCATAGCCCACCCTTGCCTAAGAACCTTCAATGGTTTGCCACTGTTTTGGGGGTAAAGACTAGAATCTTAACAAAGAAACACATAAGGCCTATTCGGATCTTTCCCACTTTTCCAGACACAATGGCAAACTCTTCTGCCAATTACACTGACCCATTCTCATGGTTTCTCTTTCTGTTTCCTCCTTCTTGCCTCTGCAGAATGCCTTTGCTTGTGCCTACGCATAGCAAATTTCCCACCCCTCATCCGCTGAGTCCTGTTCATTCTTTAAAACTCAAATATCCCTTTCCCAAAGGAAAGCTTCCCAGTCACCTCAGATCCAGGTCAAGTTTCGGTTCACAGGTTTGACAGTGTGTGCTCATTCATTTAACTTAAACTTGGCAACCACTTGTTGGGTTTGTGTATCCTGTTTTTTGCCATTTTTTGTTTATGAGATATTGGGCAAAATTTTGGGCCTGTTTTCTCACTTGTTAAATGGGTTGGTTGTGAGAATTAAGAGCACAAGTGAAACACTTGGAGGAGTATGCATAGTAAATATTATTCCAGGGCACCCTGCAGTTCTTAGTTATGATCGGTTCCCATTAAATATCTAAAGTGTAAGCTCAGGGAGAGCAAGCACCTTGTCAGGATTGTCTAGCGATGACGTCTCAGTGCCCCTGTGGAAAGCCTCACAGAGAGGAAGTGAAATAAGTATTTAAGTGACTAAATAAAAAACGATGAGGTGTTTTAGTGGAGGAAGAATTAAGAGTTTATTTGGGCTTTAGTTATAGTTACCTCTCATAAAGAAAGCATTAGGGGCAATGAGACTAGATATTTTCTCAGGGTTCTGGGAATTGGGGAGCAGCAGAGGTATGAAAGCTGAAACTGGAACCTGTTTGCTCTGATACTTTGACCAGTGGGGCTAAGAGAACTGTTGGTGAATAGCCTTAAAGAAACCACCCTGCTTTACCTTGCAGACTTATGGGGACATTTTCAAAGCTATATTGCTTTTTCACCCCAAATTGCCTTTCTAATGGTAGCTATGTAGAAATAAATAGGATGAAGTCAAATTTAGAAAACAGTGCTAAAGGAAAACACTCTTGTTTATGAAGAAAAGTTCAGACAACTTTAAACATTTTAACTTAAAAACAGAGCGGTGCCATTAATTAATTTCCTATTTAATTTGCTTTGGCTTACATAAAATATGAAATCATATATATATATAGGAATTTCATTCACTTAATTTAAACTTAGCAACTACTATATTTTAACCAAAATTATATTCTCAATGCTGTTCCGCTAAAGTGGGGAAAGGCTGGATCAATACAATTCTCACAGTGTATTTGTAAGAATTACTCGTTGCCAAATTATCTTCCTGTTAGCTTGTATACTGCTCCTGCATTTGATACTGAGCCTTCGCTTTTTGAGAAGACTCAAAAATCACTGTTTACGCTTGCTTCTGCAAACATCATTTACATTGAAATTCCTGACTAATTCATGAGAAAGTTTCTGGACTGTGAACTAGAGTCAAGTTTAGTGTGTGTGTGAGCATACATAAAAAACTAACTATCACAACTTCATACTGCATATGCAAAGCTGGAACACAGTGAAAGAGAGGAAGGGGGCGCTCTCAATCACTTCCTGAGTGCCACAGGGAGTTAAGTGCTACTGTTGTTGATATGAACGCACATAGCTGACTGACCTTTCACTGTTATGAGTGGCTCTTCTTCTCCGCATGCCGGATTTCTTTCTTTGTCTTCACCTTATAACCTTCTCCCTGCTTTAAAAGGAATGTACACGTTAGGATTTCACGGCAAAGGAGTTTTAGTTATGAAGCAGTTCCAACTCTGGTTCCTTGAGGCTGGATTAGGATAAGTGAAACACAGTTTAAAGCACTTTGCCACTTCATGTCCAAAAATACAATCCACCGGCTTTAACCACACAGTTTAGCATCATCCAGGCAAGCTAGAGAGCACCACCAGAATGAAGACAGCGCCACTGTACTTCACGGTACTTCAGGTTAGTGAGGAATAGAAAAAGGAGCAGCCTGTCCGTTTCCGGTCGGAAGCGAGAAGAAATCATCGCGGAAGCTCTCAAGGCACTCAAACCCCAAACATAAAATATATTAATTACAACTTACGCATTTTTAAGCCAGCGGAATTTTAAGCTGTCATAATGAGACTGAAAGTTCTCAGCAAACCACTAATCACAACGAACACCATGGAAAAGCTGTGGATCTAAGGGACTTTTTAAAATTATTATTTGTGGAATTACCAACCCCTCCTCTCACTCCAGACCAGGCAGACATCCATTTTCCATAAAATAAGACCCTTCTTCACCGAGCAGTGAGACACACTTCTCTGAGAGCAAAGTTTTTGTACAAATACTCAGCCTTTATCCTGTTTATAATTAATGGACAACACAGCAGCCTTTCCACAGATTAAGTCCTGAGAAATTCTCAGTTCACTTTTTCTTATGTAAACACAGGCTATTAAAGTTTCTATTTTTAAAATGAAAAGGTTAAAGTTCTAAGAAAAGGAAGTAAGAAATAACTAGCAGTGTTTTCTCTGGGAGATGGAGATCCATCTGCTGAGTTACAAGGCTCAGTAATGAGTTTAGTTCCTGAATTGGCACATTGGAAACACAGAGGAGAATTTTTGGGTTAAGAATGGAGGAATTCAGATTTCTCTGTAGAACATACTGTACAGGGAAAATACATTTGATATATGAGTCTTGAACTGAGCTTTTTGCCATTCTAACATTTAAATCCTGTGCATTTGCTGGAAATGAATGCTCTCCATCCGTGCCCAGACAGGCACTGGGCATGGGTGGGGCCCCGCCAACGGGTTTGGTGGTGGTAGAGGATTTTAATTTTTTCTAGGAATCTTGAACTGGCATGTTCTAACCTCCATAAATGAACATATCTCTGTGAACTCTCTGAAGATAGTAAAAGAATATAACGTTAAAGAATGTTAGGAAGAAAAGTCTTTTTCTTTGACCCTGATCAAATGCACAAGATATCAGGAGCGGCAAACGCTTCAAGCTGCCACACTGCCCACGCCAGCCTGTTAGCCGCGTACACGAGAGCGCTCACAAAGCTTTCATCCTCTACTTTCTCTGGGGCAGTCCCCCTCCTTTACCATGTCATGTTTCCTCTCTTGTGGGATAACCATTCGTCTTATCACTTTCCGAGTGATCTGTAGGAAGCAATAGTGAAAAGTAGAGATGTTTCCTGCTTTCTGTTTCAAGAGGGGACACTACAGCAAGCAAACAGAACATCTAAATTCCAAGAGAAGTATGAAATCCCAATGGTGATTACTTTTCTGGTGACGAGGTTGCCTTCTTCATCAGTAAAGTGTTCCTCCGTGACAGATTCACCAGGAATGTGTTTTGCTTCCTCTCCCTAAAGGATGTGGCATAGAGATTAGCAACATACCAGGTGGAGAGATCTCCCCACCACTCCATACACCACACACATGCGCTATGGAATGTTAGAAAAAGAAGGCATACGTTCTACTGGCTCTTCCAGGGTAGGGGGAAAAGGCTGACTCCACTGATAGTTATTTAGCAGTCAACAACATTCAAAGCACTAAACCTCAAGTATGTACAAGGATGATGATTAGCAACAAGCTCCAAGAAGGAAGAATTTACAAATACATAACTATAGAATGAACACGTACACATTGCTTTACAAAGCAAAAGGTTTCATTGGTTGAAAAAACTTTAGCCAATGACTAGGGCTCTAATTAGATCATCTCACTTTCACTACAACCCATTTTTATGAATGACAGTATGTCTAATGTGAATTAAGGTAGTACCTTAATTGGGAAATTTATCACCCATTGTTAGTTTAACTTAAAATTTCATTTACTAAGAGCAATATATACATTTTTTGGAAGCACTGTGAGAAAGTTCAGGGAAAATCTCTTTTTTTTAAGACTGAACCTTTCATAGGTCTTAAAATAAATGAGAATAGCTGTCTGATAAAGTACTTGGTTTCAGAATACTACTATTTTCAAGTGGAGCTCCTATGCCATAGACCAAAAAAAAAAAAAAGTCAGTACGAAAGGAATTTAAAATAGTATCTTTCAGTTAGTGACTGTTACCTGGTTAAGACGGGGAAAACTGTCAAAAGACCTTCCTCTAGTGAGTTTACAAAAATAAAATAAATTCTTCAATCTCCAAGATGGGCTCTTACTATCCTGCTCATAGGAAGCTTGGTAGAGTTAGATGGCTCCTTAATATCTCTCTATTAGTTCTATGATTGCATCAGAAGAAGAACCACTCAAAGCAAACATAGGACTGTATTTGCAATACATTATTTTTGGCACTGGTATTCAACTTTAGGTTAGCGCCACTTACAGTTTTGGGGAACAAGGACAAACATCTGAAGTGCAAACCTATTCTAGAGCCATACTGACCTATTAGTTAAACTTTTTGTTGAAAAGGTGACCTGGATATTGCTACACTACAGTGTACTCTAGCTACTGTGCACTACTGCCTTCTTAGGAAAAGTAGCAGGTCACAAAGACCGCTGCATCTCTGGGAGAGCCAGGATTCTAGCCCTTTCAGTGGTACTGTCACGGAAGAGGTAGCTCTGATAATTTTGTCAGTGCCAGCCAATGGTGGGAGAACTTGATGAGTGCTTTATGTGGTAACAGGTAGAAAGGCAGCTCTGGTTTAAAATGATGAAAAGCGTAAAGAAGAAACACTATTGTGCTTTGCTAACAATATTCTGTTTTCATTCTTTCTTTTTACAAAGTGACTTTGTGTTCTTATAGATTGTGGGATCATAGGTCGTGACAGCATGTGGGACATGCGACTCATCTTACCTCACTGTGGTCTAAAGGTGGGATGAAAAGAAAAGATGTTTCTTGCTACTCATATTTAGTTCACCTTGAATCTCGCTTACGATTAATTTCAATTAACACACTTAACAGAGAGAAGGAGATTGGAGAAATGTAGAGGACTCATGACTAAATGCACTAAAATCTGCAAGACATCTTTATGGGAGTGTTATTTATATTTAATATCGTTGGTGTCATTAAAGCCATTTTATTTTAAAAGTAAAAGCATAAAGATAGTAGAAAAGGCTAATAAAAGGTCATGAAAGATGTCACTATAGTTTAAATATGAATAAATAGAATATTTTTGAGCTAACTTTTGGAAATGTCTAGTTCTTAGAGTGTTAGAGAATCCCAGGAAAATACAGTAAAACAGAATCCTATTGGACATATCATGAATGGACCCTTTTGTGGGGAAAGATGCCAATTCATTTTTAAACTGTTTGGACAGTCTCTGAAAGAAATGTGAAGTAGTTATATGTATTCACTACATGCTTATAAATATAAGTATACTGATTTATATTAATAGTCTTAGAAGAAAGCAAAGCCCTACTTATAAGTAACAAACCATATAGGCTGTTGAGATCTACTCTGGTATGCAGGATTTTCTTTGTTTCCTACTGAACACTTGGAGTGCGGGAAACGAGTTAAGTCGGCTCGCGTGAATTGCGCGTACTCCGCGGGAGCCGTCTTTAACTCGGTTCATATAGATTTGCGGTGGAGTGCGGGAAACGTGTAAACTCGGGCCGATTGTAACTGCGTATTACCAAATATTTGTTTGTAATCCACCCTTTTGGTGGATGGAACAAAACCAAAAGACAGAGCCATCTTATATTTTGGCGGGAAATTCACCCGCACTCCAAGTGTGAAAATTCATACTATTGATGTAAAATTAAAGGTATAGGTATATCTCTTAATCTTAAATGGCCATAAAGTATAGTCAATTATGCTTTAATAAGATCAAAATAAATTGAGTATGTAAAAACTCACTAAAGTAGATTAGATAAGATAGGAACGATAGTAAGGAGTCAAAAAATACATTAAAAAATCATCCATTTAAAATTTTTCAAATATATTGGAAATCAAGTGTTATCAAGGAGAGGTCTTTGGGGCTTCTCCTTAATGAGAGAAAATAACCCCTAATTAGTTTCTAAAGTTCTTGGAAATAGTTTGTACTGTTAAGTAAACAAAATTCCCCTGTCCCTTATTGATGGCATTATTTTTGGCAATACCCTCCCCTAGCACATACTGTTTCTCTTTCCTATTTCTAAGGAAAAATACAGTATCTATCTATCTATCTATCTATCTATCTATCTATCTATCTATATTATATATATGTCAACCCTGGTGGCCACCTTACTGAAGACTAATTACTTCCCTTTAAAACCCTGCCAAAACACTTTATAATTTTTATTCCTCCTTGAATTTTTTGAATAAAATGAAAGAACAATTAACTATATATAATGTACCAATTTGCTTTGATGTACACAATATTACAACTTCAACTTTCCAAAAAATGGGGGTAGATATCATATATATGGCGCACACATAACTTGGCAAGTTACTAAGCAATATATACAGTATAACTCATTTTTATATTCTAAGAAGCCCACTTGCAAAGGATGTTGTACATGTACATAAAAATCTAAAGCTAATGAACAGTAGCTACTGCTGGACAATGGAATGGGGAAATCAAACTTTATGTACTTTTGGTTTGGGAAAAAACACATATAAACTCAATCTGAAAATCGGTAAAAAAATTTTCAAAAGTAGACATGAAAATACAGTTGAACTATGTAGTGAAATTTCAGTTATTTGAATTTTCCTAAACTTTACAATAGTTGGGCTGTGAGTTAGTTTAAACCTTTTACCTTTCTAATCACTGAATTTTAAGCAAATAATGTAAAACAAGCTTATAGGACTGATTAATTTACTTAAATTGCTTTCAAGCATTTGAAACCATTGTGATATTGTCAGATTACATAGAAATAAATATGTTTATAAAATTTAAAAGATCCCCAAATAAATGGGAGTTTAATTTGACTCATTCCTTAGCAACTTAAAAATATTAAATTTAAATTATAAAATTATACGTTCAACCCACTTATTATACAAGTTGAACTGCTAAGAACACAAATTTGCCTAGACTTCTGGTAATGGAATCCTGAGCACATATTGACACTTAAGTGGCAAACAATCGAAATATGCTGACATAGTCCCAGGTGGATAGCCTCCATGAAGTAGGTCAAATTCCTAGCATTCCAGCTCCATAGTTTTCAGGAAAGATAGTTCAATGGTGCCCTCTTCCATGCCACTAGAAAGGCCTAATTTAGTCTAGGAAAAGTTATTTTTTATTTGTTCTGGAAGAGAAAGAATATAGTATTGTGGTAGGAGAAGCTTCACTGGAGGGCTAGAGATTAGGTTCTGGTCCCAGAACTGCTTCTGCCCTGCTGTGATTCTGTATAAATCAACTGGTCTCCAATCCTGTTTTGTCATCTAGCAAAAGAAGTGGTTTTAGTATTGATGATCCCTTTAGGGCCTAACATTCTCATGTTATGTTTTTGCTAAGATGGTTCCCACGCCACATTTACCATATACTACTGTGGTCTCAAGCTCTTTTACGTTAGAAAGATACTAACAGAGGAGTAAAGAGAAAAACAATAGAAGTCTGACCCTTTTCAACTGCCCCAAAAATCTGAACAGAAAAATATTAACTTGAAAGATTCTTCTATATGTAACATATTTTTTTGTTATACCCATAGTTTCCAATTATAATTATAGCCATTTTTTAGCTTTTGATTTGTCATATACAAAAGACATTTCTCAAAACTTGAGTGATTCTATTGTTTATACCATGCTTTCTCTTGTTCTAAAACCCATTCTCTGATGATTCCACCCAACCTCCCTAAAATTACACTGACTTCAAGAAATAGGGATTTGGGGAGAACACTAACTCCTCTATTTTATGGAGCCTACTACAACATCATAGTGTATTTTGGTCTTTTAAACTTAATAAAAAAGTTAATATATTTTATAGAATTATAGAATTAACTATATATTAAGTTCAAATACATAATAAGTCCAATAAAAGCTAACTTTAAAATGCACCTGTAGAATGCTAGGAGAACAAAAGAGATAACTCACTGACATAGGGAACAGGGTTTGATGTTTTTGTATTCTTCAGACTGCAGGGGTCCTCAAACTACGGCCCGCGGGCCACATGCAAATACAAATATTGTATTTGTTCCCGTTTTGTTTTTTTACTTCAAAATAAGATATGTGCAGTGTGCATAGGAATTTGTTCATAGTTTTTTTAAAAAACTATAGTCTGGCCCTCCAACGGTCTGAGGGACAGTGAACTGGCCCCCCGTTTAAAAAGTTTGAGGACCCCTGCTTCAGAGTAATATTTCTTTTTCTCTACCCTCCCAATTTTTTTTGCAGGATAACTTATTTTTCTTCTGTCCTATACAGGGGTAGGTAAACTTATGTGTATAGCAGTAAGTATATGTGACAGATTTTTTTCTTGTATTACAACTGTAAACCTATTTTTGCTCATTCTTATATAAAGGAGAGCCAGCTTCTATCATGGCAGCTATTCTAAAGCAATAGGTGGGTTTGGATGCAACATGAATATGTCACATGTTAAGCATAAGAAGAAGCAAGTTACACTATATTTGGTGCACTTTTTCTAGACGTTTCACTTTAAAATACCATTTCTTGAAGACATTATGAGAATAGCAAAGCCTGAGCAAAGAGTATGGCTTTATCTCCTTCAGAAAACTGAATTATTTCTTTCCTCCAATTCCAGAAAGGTGTGGGAAGTGATTATGAGGACTTATGGATAGCAAGTTGAATACTTACAAATATGCTAGATCCCAATAAGGAATTTGGCTTGCCTATACGGAATTTTCAAAGAAGTGAGTCATGCTTTTTGATAGCCCCCTATTGAGCTCAAGGTTGACTGGGGGATAATGTAAAATTTAGACAAGGCCTTATTTTCTTCTCTAATGCTTCCAGTCTTTGAAAAACTATACTAAGCAGATTTCTTCTCTTCTTTAATCTGATCTACATGAAAAGTACAAGCAGCAGGATTAAGAATTTTTGGATACCTAAGCCAACATCTCTGCTCTCTGTTGAGTCTCCTGACACTTTAGAAATGGGTAAGTTTGACAAATGGTTTTCAATAGACATTTCCCTTCCTTTCTTTCTAGAGCTGCCAACCAAAGAGCCTCAAGTTATTTGGATCACATTCGGAGGCCTGGGTATTGTAAACAGCTTCCTAGTTCTCTGCACTCAATCATTTTAACATCAAGAAAGATCTCGCTAAAGACAGTAATAAAGACAAGCAGCAGACTGAGACACATTCTGCTGGACCTTCCCACGCATAAGGTCAGTGCTTCAAAAGGCCTTTATGGGGGAAATCAACTAATTCAACTGTGCTGTAACAGGTGAGATTATGATTTTCACTTCTAGTAAAGATTGCTTCCTATAATTTAACATACAAAAAAAAATCAGGCTGTATTTTTGTCAAGTTAAAAACCTATTGCATTTATTGGGGTGATGTTGGTTCATACAATTATACAGGCTTCAAGTGTATAATTCTATGATACATCATCTGTATATTGCATTGTGTGCCTATCACCAATACAGTTAACCAATGTCCCCCGAATAAATTTAATTAAAAAAACTATTTCAGAAGTTTTTGCCTAATTTGCCTTATTGTCATATATCCAGGCTATAACATCAAACTCCTAGTCATTGATAAAAAACAAACAAACTAGTTTTCACTTAAAAAACTGTGAAGGCAGAAGGAATTTGAGACTGAGAAGGAAGCCTTTCAATCCTCTTAGCTCATCCCTCATTACGGCCTCTGAGATTTCATTGAACATTTCATTTGGTAGGGGCTATTCTCTCACCAAGATAGAATCTTTGTTCACACATATAACACTTCTTCAGGGAAAGCAGGATACAATTCCCCAAGAATTCTCAGATAAAATTAATTACAACTGTCAGGTCAAACACAGGTCTCACTACCAAGCAACATGACGTTTTCCCTTTTGTTATTGTTTTTATAAGCTTCCAAATGTGCAGACAAACACATAGCGAGCCATTTAGTTATCAAGCATGCTGAATTTTCAAAACCACAAGAAAGGACTTTCTAATAATACAGCAATGGCCCATGATGATTTGGCTACAGGATACCTTTATAATCAAACGCCGGCGAATAACTCGGGTAGTGACTCTCTGTTCCTCCTCTGAGCTTGAATCACTCTCACTGTTTTTCAAGTCCTGATAAATGTATTTTTAGCATAATTTTACCATCACATTTAAAATAAAAGACATTCTGAGAAGGGAAATCAAAAAAGAATTACTTTTACTTGCTGGTTTTCCCTCCTCTAAGGAAAATCATGATGTATATTTGTGAAAATGTTTTTAAAAATTTAAGTGAAAGAAAATTTTGAGCAGGATTCTAAGTGAAACTACTCTATGTATGTATTTATGCATAAGTGTGTGAATCTAATTACTTTGGTCTTTACCTGCATATATATATATAAGACCAAGGTAAATAAATGATAAAATATTAAAAATAACAATTTTTGGCATCAGAAAGTACATGCTACTAATTATTAGTTTGAAGAAACATTAATATTAATTTTAACTAGTTTTAAGTCTATATACATTTGACTTAAATGTATAATCTTATAGTTCAAGCCATGTTTCAGTTAATCTACAGAAAAAGGCATGGTATTTGATTTTTATGAAATTTTGGTCAGATTTGACAAATTTATAAGAATTTATATAAGCATAATTGGTACCTAGTAAGAGTTTATTCAAATAAATGAAGGAATAATGTAAAACATGTCAAAATATGAGGTCTTCTTTAAAGAACTGATATGAAATTAGAATAGAAAAAAACATCTGACAGACAAGATCATGGTATAAACAGAATACAGTAACTAAACAAATGATACTTTTTAGGCAATAAGGATAGGAATATGAAAAAAACTTCCAAGTGGCAAAAATTTCATATTTCAAAGGGAAAAATATCTTTGGCTTTTAATTAAATGTCATAGTGAAAAATATTTACTGAATGATTTTATTGATGGAATTCTGAAATTTTATTTTCTAAGTTTACTAATTACCTAAAATTTGATAGTACTGGAGTTAGAAGTTGTAGTTAGAAATATCAAAATAAGTAAAATTGTTATGGGAGGTATAAGTGCTAGCTAAAATGATTAATAAAACGTTAGTCAAATAGATAATACAGTAGGCCATATTCACCAAAGGTAAACTTAACAAATATATAAAAATATAATATCAATCTTGACTTTGTGGGAAAGTTCACGTGAACAAAACATCCTACTGAATAATACATAGTGTCAAATGGAAACAGTTTTTGAGTTTCTTACTCTTTGCAAATATATTGGTTGCTAAGTTTCCTATTACTTTTTAAAGTTCATTAGAAAAGGACCATAAATTCAGGACACTTAAAATGACCTAATATTATGAAAGAAGGCCCTGCAATAGTTCCAAAAGGCAGAAAGAGGTAAGAGGAATTCATATTGTGAAAGAAAAGAAGTACTAATCAGCATTCAAGGATAAGTAGGTTAGATGAGGCAAAGGGAGAATTCAGTCAGGATTAACCATACACGGAATTGTTAACGGGAACAGTCTTCCCTTGGGTAAATTTAAAAGCAGAAGAACAGATACTAATGCAAACACTAGTAACAAATCTAGATGTCACATTATATCATAATCCTATCAAGCATCATCCAAGACCAGCCCCTCACAAATAAAAAGGGGCCATTTGGCCAATGTTTTAGTTTCCATTCTCTTCCTGGAGTCTATGCTAATATTAAGATGAAGAGTAACAGAATGTAGTAGTAGGACCTCATCAGGATTCCTTTTGGAGAATTCGCTAGGAATTGGTAAACAGTGTTAACCTAGAGGCCAAATGGAATTCTCTTAGTACTCCTGGCCATGGGTTGCTGCATGGAAAGAGGTGGAAAAGAACAGAATTTTACCTTGTAACAGCAGGTAGTCATTCGTGTAAGAGCTGCACCCGGACTTTTGACCTGATTATTTAGGGAACAAAAAGGGGGCTGTTTCTGAAATCATACATCAGATGACCTCTTGGTTGCTATTGTCCTATGGTCTAGTCACAAAAGACCCATCCGAACATCTTTGGATTTCTTGTGAGGTCAGGCTCATATCTACCAGAAGCTTGAACTCCATTATGAATTTTTATGCTCATTAAGCCTTTACGCATTGGAGTAGGACCTGTGACCAATACCAAAGGCATAAACTCATTTATTAAAAATGTTGCAAACATTTCCTAGTATGATTATTTTCCATTACTGATGAACTCAGCTGAGATTCCTTCCAGGGTTAAGACTTTATGCCTTCTCCTTGGTTCTCCAATAGCCAATCTGTATGCACATGTACACACATAGAGGTGCTTATTTATACTTTGATTTTAGTACTTTCTATTGATTTTAATAGGCTTTTGCACAATAAATGTTCATAGTTAAAATGCCATAATGTTAATGTTTCTAACTGTGGGCTCATTTTAAAAGGGAATATTTTACTCAAAATCATACTGCTTACATAAACTAAGAGTTAACTAAAAGAAATTGATATTCAAAACCCCACTTGTCAGGAAAGAAGTGGAAAAAAGACCTGACAATTTTACTTCCTTTCCCTTTCCTTCTTAACAAGCAGGAAAATGGTCAAAAGATAGTCTGCAGAAGGGAAAAGGAGAGATATTAGTCAATAAGCTGACAATTAGCTCCTGAGTGATTGGGAATTTATACATTTTTAAACCTCATATTAATCATGGACTCATTATTTGACAAAATAAAACTAGATGTTTTAAGGAAAATGAGAAGTGCTACTATTCCAAAGATGTATAACTCTTAATCTATGTCTACTACATAGTTCATGAAAAGACATAACATTTGAGAACAACAACAAAAAATCAGCTCTATTTTCTCATATCCATCTTTGAATCATAATTTCAATTTAATTTTTTAAAATACCTAAAAATGATAAAACCTCAATGAATAAAAAACTATTAAGATAGTATCACCAAAACATACAAGTACAAAGAGCAAGCAAATAATTCTGTGGCAGTAGGTTTTAAAATTATTAAAAACAAATTAAGATAATTATCAACTTAGATATAAAATTATTAAAATGATACTTCTTACTTTAAATTTCTAAATGCTGTCAACTAATAGTGGTATATACACACATCATTTTAGGCTTGGGAAGTATGTTTCTTCAATTTTTAAAGCACACTTTCAGACACACTTTCAGACAACTGACCTTACAGGGTAGAACTTTTAGATGGGTTGTGTGTTATAAACTTTATGCAAAAGAACCAGAAAGGGTCAGAACAATTACCCTCCTTGCATAGGAAAGAAGATCGGATTGGGAGTTAGGAAACTTAAATCCCAGACAAAATAATACTGGACCTTAAGCTGGTTACTCAATATCTCTAAAATCTGAAAAATGGCCAACGAGATGGTTATTTCTTTTTCCTACCCTATGAATGACGGACGATATGATCAAATAGCTTATGTTTTACTCAGAACTTCCTTTACCCCCAACATGAGTGTTATAATTTTTGGTCACACATTTATAATTTGGAAATAGCAAAGAACCTTGGGTCAATGCTACAACATTAATCAGAGGAAGTGAAGCATCAATACCTTCAGTTTAAAGGACAGCATTCTGAATAAAGGCGACGTACCTTTGGCTCAGACCCACTGGACCCCTCTTCTTCGTGGAGGTTAAGCCTTGGCTTGCCATCTGCAGGAGAAGTCCTACTCATCTTTTTCATTCCGACAGGCACACAGGGTTTAGGCTCCTCCATTACAAACTTGCTGGTTTCTTCGAGAGATTTCTGATATGCTGCTAGTGATGATGCTGGTTCCTCAACACGACCGTATCCGTGTGGTTTTGGTCTCAGAGTTTCCTTAGTACTCTGTTTGCCTACATCATTTTGGGATTCTGGAAAGTAAGATTTCGTCTTTGCTTCTGGAGTGACTTCTGCATGGTTCCCATTTGCTTCAAATTTCCCAGGTTCTCCTTTGAGATATGAGGTAATGGAATCTCTACATTGGTCTGGGCTGTAAAAGGTAAAATGTAGAAATTTACAATGGTAACACATGGCTGGAAATGGGTCTAAATTTTTAACTACTATGTTTTGAAATACATTTGAAGGCATAAAATAGAAAGGCCTGAGAACTCTGCTCACTGGATTTCAAACTGTGAGGGGCAGTCCTGGGTGTGGGGGTGAGGAGGTGCTATGTAGGCTCCAGGCAGCTCCCAAGCTGGCTAGCTATGCTGTCATTGTTTGTGTTTTGTTTGATTGCACTTCTATAGCCGCTTGAATTCTATATCTTAAAAAGCAATCCTGAGCAGTTCATGGACCGCTCAGAGTTCCAGACCCACTAATTTAAAAGAGGAGGATATCTCAAAATGCTTTTATACTGCCAGTGAAAAACCTGCTAAGGCACAAAATGAATTCCTGTGATGAGAGCTCTGGCATCCCCTAGAACCCCAAATTCCAGTCTTTGTGTTTCCAATTATGATTCCTGCTACCAAGTTTCCAACTATAATTCTCTTTCTCGCTCCCATCTTTCTATGCCCCTGATCTCTGCTGACACTGACTGGTGCTCACCCACTGCTTTTACTTCCTGTGAGAACTATTTTTCTTTCAACTATTAAAAATCTTTCTCTTCCAGTACTTAAAAAAAGTGATTTCTAAGTTTTAGTCATTTCAGTATAGACTTTTTGTAGCTTGTGTATTGTGTTTAGTGTCTTTGCTTATTACCCATAGACTTCTGAAGGCAATAACTATTGCAATGTTTTATATGTATAACATATTATTATGTATATATATGTAAGTATGTGTATGTGTACATTTGTAATCAAATTGATTATCTAAACACAGTTATCAAAAATATCAATAGCATACCCTATTCTGTTTGTGTAAGGACAAATGGTTCCAGCACATTGTGATGATCCTATAACTGTGGGTCGCGACCTCTTTGGGGGGTCGAACGACCCTTTCACAGGGGTCGCCTAAGACCATCGGAAAACACATATATAATTACATATTGTTTTTGTGATTAATCACTATGCTTTAATTATGTTCAATTTGTAACAATGAAATTGGGGGTCACCACAACATGGGGAGGTTGAGAACCACTGTTCTATAACATAACTACAACCATAAACTATACGACTGTATCTGAATGTAGACATCAGAAGTAGTGTTCTTTATTGTCTTGGCTCTTTGGTAGGGTGAACACAGAACTCATTGATGCTACCATTCTGCAAAAAAAGTTTTGTAAACTTCACCTTTGGGAATTTTATGGAGCAAGAGGCTTAGTAAGATGAAAATATTAAATTTGGTTATGAAATAATCTGTTTTTTGCATCCAACTTAAGTTTATCATTAGTTGCCATTGAAGTAAAATGTCTGATGTGTAAATAAAAAAATATTACTAACAGACTATTTGCATCAGTCATTTGGTATGCATGCTACAAGCTTTCTTTTTCAATATATAAACCTGTTTGAGGAAAGTAGTCATTCTTATTTTTAAAGCTGATTGAAGTGACATTCTTAGAGCTTAGAAATTCATCCAAAGTCACAAAGTGCAAACCTAATGATGGTGAGATTTGAATCAATGTCTGGAGGACATTAAACTCCCACCTTTCTAGAGTAAGGCCACCATAAAAAGAATCAGATTCATAATTAGGGAATTACATTGGATATAAACAAATTTCAATCATGGCAAAATTATTTGGGCTAAAGAATTACATATACTGCCTAGCCAGTGTGGCTCAGTGGAGCACCAACCCATGAACCAAGAGGTCACTGGTTAGATTCCTGGTCATGGCACATGCCCCAGTTGCGGGCTCAGTCCCCACTGGGGCATGTGCAGGAGGCAGTCGATGTTTCTCTTTCATCAATGTTTCCCTCTCCCTTCCTCTCTCTCTAAAAAAAAATGGTACATATACTATATTTCAAATCACGTAAAACACTCATGTAGAAAAAAGGTTATTATATAAAAATGTGTTTTCTTAGTATGGTAGAAAGACAGATGACTTTTCTTTTTCTTTGCATTTTCTGTTAAGACATTTTAAAATATGTATGCAAAAAAAAAAATCCACCAAAATTTTAATGGTGGTTATTGTTAGATTGTGGGGTTGCATTGATTTTTTATAAATCTGTATTTTTAAAATTTGTATAATAAGCCTACATATGTTTATATTTCTTTAAAAAACTTGGAATTTATTATATTCTTTTGAATGAGCATTAATTACTGGCTATGTGAAAAGAGTAGTCTTCTAAAGTAAAATGTACATCAATCTTTGGCATGTATTTCAAACTTTCTGCATTTCCCTCAGGCTGTCAATAGTTTTAAGAATTATATTTGCGCTTAATGTAATTTTCCCTCTCCAGATTAGCAAATGAACCAACCTTTAAAGCATGTATTATCCCCAAACTGGAATGGTCATGTAGAAAAAGAGGAATTGCTGAAAAGCACATATTTAAACTACTAATATGTAACCTGTTTCATTTTCCTTTTTCTGAAGCAGCCATACCTGTCATCCAGTCGATCTAGTAACCCACCAGTTATTCTTCGAGCTTGAGCCGGGGACTCTAGGTTTCCACTGGTCTCATTCTGCCAACCTGTAATTGAAGACATTTCCAGTTCTGCTTGCTGAACATGTTTAAGAATAGCCTGTACTTTTTCTTCTGTCATCTCCTCAGAATCTACTCCTTCTTCAAGTTGAATGTCCTCAAATAGAGATTTGAGTTTTTCTTCTGTCATCTCCTCATCAGGACCAGATTTTCCTTTCTCTTGCTGCTCAGAGCTGACTCTGACTTTTCTAGTATGTTTCAGTGGCTCTGCTGGTTTAACATCTTTTGGGACCCCAGCCATACTTCCAAGGTATCGAGGATACTCACTCAGATAAACATTCTCCAACTGGCTCTCATCTACATCGACTGCTTCGGGCATTTCTGTTATAGGCATTGAGTCTTCAAGTCTGCTGTCTTCTAAGGAAGTGTCTTCTGCAGTTACAACTGGAGGTCCATCTGCTGAATGCTCTACGTTTCCCCGGGAAGGCACTAGCCCATCACTCAGTCTACTGGGGGTTCTAAGGGGAGATTCTGTGCTAGAGGTATCACTAAAATAATCATCTTGCTGGAAAGGGGTGGGTGGTGTGTAGTGCAACCCTGTGGGAGTTTCCAGTTCCACTTGAAGGGAAGGATAACCTATGGAAGACAGTACATTTGGACTGACTGGAATGAATTACGAACACATCAAACAAAAACACATGGAATGACTTAAATTATATCAGGTATGAAAATGTATGATGAATTACAGAATGATAAATTTATTGGTTTAGTTCAATTAAATGTAATACAATGAAATAAAAGGCTAGTGCAAACTATAATAAGATAGGATATTAATTAAGATATAGACTGTTTATCAATTTTGGTAATTTTAATACAATGACTTAAATACACAGATTAATGTAATCTAATATAAAGTTATTTGCCACCATATAAGATACATTTATTCCATGGCCAAATTTATTATCATTCAACTTTTAGCATGTAAAATCCATATTTTGGTGGATTAAATACAGCAAGCCACAAGAAACCAATTTTTATAATTATAACTTATTTTAACACATTGCGTACCGCATAGAAATCTCTAAGACATACGCCAGGGACTGCACGTTTTTGGGCAAACTGCACGTTATTTAAATCATCATAATGCACTTTAGGTGTTTTTCAATAATTGTAACATTTTTATTTACAAAAACAATTAAACAATTAAAGTTCCTAGTACTTTAACGTATGGTACTGTGTAAAACATTTTCCTCTATGAAGAGGGACCAAACAAAATTTACATAAGTATCTAGATTTGCTCCTTTTTCCATGGGCGTGAAAAACGAGAACACTCGTGAGCAGTCCTTAACAGATGGTGCGCGAAACACGAGAAAACTCCTGAGCGGTACGAAATGTGTTAAGAACAGTGCAAATGAGCGATTATACCCAACTCTAATTTTTAGTTATTTCACATGAAATTTACAGCAAAGAAAAATGAATTTAATATTTGGAAAGAAATGATTATTAGATTTTGGGGAAAACAATCTAAAACCATGTTAGGAAAAGGATTTAAAAAGCAGATAAAGTAGAAAAGACTCCATGTAAATTTTCAAGTGTCATAATGTGTCAGAGATGAAAGGGCTACGGTGTATATGGACATTTTGGTAAACTTGGTGAGATGGGTCCACTCAGAACCATGAATCAAATAAAGAGAAAAAGGAAATGGTACAACAGAGACAGGAGGAAAACCATCTGCAAAGAGGTCTGAACATCCACGACAAGGCTATGAAACACGGAGGTTTATTAACCAGACTACATAGAGGGGACGGAGGGAGCAGGTCTCATGTTTTAAGCTGTGCTGCATGGGCTAAGGGAGTATTTTTCTCTTTGAGCAGAGAGAAAAGTCAACACTGGTCTGGTCATGGTGAGGAAAGGAAGTTTTACAGAATTTCAACAAAGAGGAGAGACAGGAAAAAAACAACACACAATGCAACCCAGCACATTTTCTGAATTATTAGTCTACAAAACTAAAGCCTCATTTTTCCATCAGTCCAAGGTAAATACCAACTTAACTTTTATTGTGAATTCAGATCACTATAGGTAAGTGAATATTTTCCTATTATGGTCACCTGTAGACCAGAATCTTGTTGAAAAGCTGGCTAAGATTAGCTGAGGTTTATAATCTGCACAAGTGATATTTATTTAATACACATATCCCTAAATTTCCCTATTCTGATTTTAAAATGTTAAAATTAAATGTAGTTTTCAATTCCATTGAATACGTCCATTGTTTCCTGGTGATCTTGTGTATTAGAGCTACTGTGCTTAAAAATTTTCCCAACAAAGAATATTAAAAGATTCTATAATTTGGCAATAATTCATCAATTGATATAACATGATACGTCTTTAGTACCAATACATGGTTTCACATATAAGATAAGGCTTTAAAGCGAGCTTTTCCCCAAGATTCTCTGGTGTTTATAAACTTAAAGAGAAACCACTTTTGACATTAATACCCATAATTCTTATGTTATGGTATCCTTTAAATTTTCTGTTGACTTTGAGAACTTTTATCACATAACATGCAGAATTAGAAGTTATTGATTCTTGTTAGTCTAACTTTTCTGGTTAAAACTGGAAAAAGAATCATCATATTTTCCAAAACATGGAATAGTGAAAAAATATCCCTAGTCCTTCTTCCTGCCTCCACACCATCATCAACATTTTTACTCTAAATTCATTCTAGGAATAAATTCCATTTGTGAAGGAAGATGAGCATCTTGAAAAACATAAGATATGTTATGCTTTTCTTAATACTTTTATGAAAAAAGCCCAAATTTACATAATGAAGGAAAAATTACAATATCTATAAATGAAGCTAATGTAAAAGACAAATTATGTTATTAGAGACATATATGCTCATTGAATAGAAATTACGCTGCCTTTTATAAACTATATATCAAGTAGGGTTCCCCCCCCAACAAATAAATAGCACACAACGATAAAATAATGCTAAATAACTAAAATACTTTTTGAGTGACACATTAGACTTTTTCAGTACATACTTAAATACTGGGTCCCAAAACAGTAATTCAGCATTTTACTTAACAATTTGTATACTATATGCTTAAACTTGACCCAATACCTTACTTACTCGGTAAAACAGCTTGCAATTTGGTTTTGTCTATATACAATAAGCTAATTCACTAGTTTTTAAGGTTAATGTGAAAATGACAAAAACTGTGTAGTGTCTAGCTAGATATTAAACTTTTTCCCATTTGGTCACATAAAATATTTGAAATAGAATTCTTCAGATAACATATGCTTTTATATCTCATTGTTCATATTTTACATAACATATTTATCATTTGGTCTATCAGAGTATATATTTGCAGACTCTGGCAGAAAAAATGCTGTGAAAATGAGAAATTAAGTCAAGCAAATCATCATTTAGCTGGTTTAACTGACTTCCTTGTTTTAGTGCACTTGCAAATTTTATCAAATGATTAAATAAATATGAACACTGGATTCAATTACCATCAACAGGGTCATGGAAAACATTGTTCTCATCAGCAAAACTTCTGGTGCCTGAAATATTTCCATAATCAAATATTGGTCCTTCTAGCAGAGTCACTATATCTATTCGATTAATTTTTGTCAAGACCGAAGTTAAGGCATCAGCTGAAAAGGAGGGGAAAAAAAAGGTTGAAAATCCAAGGAAATTATTTCTTTCAGTCATCACAATATCCACACAAAGACAGCTTTTGCGACCCTGCTGATATTTCAGCTCTTCTTTATTGCAGCTCTGAAAACCAGAGGGCTCAGAAAACTGGCCACTCCTGGGAAGATTTGTAAGGGTCTTAAGAATCACCCGATAAAGCTGTGCTTGAAGACAGCAACATTCATTCCATTGTAAGATGCAGAGCAGATGAGCCCCAAAATAGCTACATTCCTTTTAGTTATAAGGGGATATCATAAAATTTTAAACATGTTCCTCTCCTTTCAGACTGTCAAAATAGGTCGCCCTCATATCTGATGCTTAGCAATTTAATGACTTACTAAAATCAGGCTGACCTTACAATAACTTATTGCACATTGTTGTGGGTTGGCACTTGTCATAGTATAGCACCCCTCTATGCCACCCACAATAAAACAAAACCCAACAATATTAGAGAATTCTCTGCCACCACAGACCAAACTGTGTACAATGATTTGATCCCCTAATTTGATCCTATTTTTCTCTACTTCCCTGCACATCCATCTCTGACCATAGCAGTAACTTCATAAGTGTTTGCCTACCACCCCACAATTTAACAGTTAGAATTACATTTTCACTTTTAATGGTCACAGAGAGAACTTCAGACAGAAACGCAAAAAAATTCCCTACTATTTGCTTTCTGAAAGCTTCCTAAAGATAGGTTAGAATATTTGCACTAAACTAATATAATTTCAAAAGACCTGCTACCACTTTTTGATTACTCTGATGTTATTAACAGTAGACTTATAGAAAATATTGGATTTATGCAGTTATGAAAGTTAAAGTAGTATAATTTTAGCATACTTGTAGCATTTTTTCCATCTCTGGTAACCCATTTTTTTAATAACATGAAGCTTTGAGAAATTAAAGAATTTGGATTTTCCACACGTATTTGATTGATTTCATCCACTGAAAAATTCAGTTCCCTTGCCAGTTCTGTAGAAAAGAAAAAGAGTTACTTAGATTTTGTATTATACTTTTATCACATATATTTCATTTAAAAAGAAAAGAATTTTACAGTAAAACCTAAGTACAGCCTTGGACAATAATCATTATATACTTGATTTCTCAGGAAAGTAGTGATCCTACATAGGCTGTGATTGAACTCTTAGTTACAATTAGATTATATAGTTTATTGATCTGCAGAAAGATTTGCTGGATTCTTTTAATTCAGCCAAATTATTCTTTCAATTCGAGCAAACTTCGTACAAGGGATATACAGTTCATAAATATACGGCACAAGAGATGCTGGTGTTTTCCCTAGGCAGTCTTCATGAGGTACATCTTTTACTCACTTAACATTCTACTCTATATGTCATCAAGTTGCATGAACTTCACTTTGGAGGCTAAGGGAAGACTCCAGGACAGATCACCGTGTATGATATGCTGCCACATGTATACAAAATAAAGGGAGATAACTTTCTATCCATCTAGATGTATACACTCAATCTTGTTTATGCTGAGAGTGTCTTTGGGAAGATATGTATGAGTAGTAGTGGCTGGTTTAGTAGAGGGAAAGGTAGAAGTCAAAGATGAGAAGACTTATTTTTTTGTATAATTAAAAAAGGATTTATTAGGCACGTAGTACCTTAAATAAGTATAAAAAGTAAGGAATGGTAAAAATATCCTTCCATGGAAAAGGAATTGTTCAAGATTCTATCCTGCTTAAATTTTTTTATATTGGCTATTTTTTATTTAATCAAAAGGATATATATTTTTACATTCAGTATTATTTTGTGTTAGTTTCAGGTATATAGCATAGTGGTTAGACCATCATATTTCCAGCAATTTGTCAAAATGCATTCGGAGGCTCAAAAAAAGTCCATATCCTTTGATCACGTGATTTTACTTTTAGAGATCGATCTTGACAATACTTAGGGTTGTACATAATGATTTACATACATAGAATGTTCATTGTAGGCTTGTACTACTGAAAAACTGAAAACGATCCAAGTGTTGAACAAAAGAGTTAATTAATGTAATGCAGTGCAGGGGCTTGCAAACTATTTTGATCAGAACCTACAATAAGAAATATATTGTATATCTTGGTGTTGCTATAAATGAAACTGATCTTTATGGAGCAAAACTAGCCTTAATACATATAATACACAGATGTGTTCTTTACCATTCTATTCCATTTAAAAACATAACCAAAGCATGAATTGATTCTATGACTCACTAGTGACCCACAGTTAGAACAACATCATTGTATAAAGTATCTCTATTGGTTGTTATTGTTTAGCCATTAAAATCAAGATCAGAGAATATTTAATTTTGTAGAAACTATGTACTTGCAAATAAAAAAGCAGTAAGTTGCATAGTTAATATAACATTTAAAAGAGCATTTTATAAAAAAATCAAAGTTCATTAAGATTACTTAACAGTGATTCTAATGGACAGATTTAAATTTTGTTCTTCTAAATGCTAATTTTCCTAATAATCTTTATTATCCTATAGGAATTCAAATTTAAAAAGTTAAATTTGTTTTTAAGTTTTTCATCTGTGTTTTAAGACAACTTACTTACTGCCCAACAAGCTCTCATAACTGAGCTGTATCATTTGTCTAGACTCGATGCAAGCTAAGACACATTGCCACTAAGAACTTTAGCGTTTTATGGCTTTATGTCTGTCTATTCTTACATCACATTTTCTCCAAAAATTTACTCTGGCAGAGAACTGGATTTGCTTATGGGAAATAATCTAATAGTTATGGGCATACAATACTGCAAAATCAACAATGGCTCCACTTTATTTTCAGATTATAGTGTCCTATGGTAAAATATAAATACTATCTTTAATTTTATGTTAGCAAATGTTTACATACAACGGATTGCTATTAATTCTCAACCTGCAAGGGATTACTCAGACCATCACCAGCCTCCTGGGGATTAGCTATATGTCTGAGAGCAAGGACTGGGTGGAAAGAGAGAAAAGGGTTCAATATGTAGGAGGGGGAGGGACTTATGGCAGTCAAAGGAAAATTATTTATATGAACTACTTTCATACTCTCCCTTTTAACAGCATAGATAATTATTTCCCTGAGTCTAGATGTATGTCACTGATGGTATGCAAGATGACTTTAGCTATGACAATAATTGACATTTTAAAACTATTATGTTTTATGGCTATGAATTTAAAAAGAGGAGTATATATAAACAGCACTCAACCTACAGAATATTCCTTTTCTGCATAAATAAATAATTCCATTCATTTCACTATTTTTTAAAATTTTAATTAAAAATTTAAATTTATCATCATTCCTTTGTTTTCTTGCTTATGTAATTATTGAAAATAATCCTTGTTTTCCATTATCAAAGTGATATAAGTTTTCCTTTAAATAAATATTTGAGCGTAAAATGGAGTCAATTTACAACTATCAGCTAAATAATGTGTATATCATAAAAATTGTGAAGATGACTCATGAATGATTAAATTTTTTTAAACCCAGGCATGGATTAATTTAACTGTTGCCTGAGAGAGCTGCTCTAAGGGCATAAACCAGGGGTGGGGAATCTTTTTCTGCCAAGGGCCATTTGGTTATTTATAACATCATTCTCAAGCTATACAAAATTATCAATTTAAAAATTAGCCTGCTGTATTTGGTCAAACAATTAACTCACCCCTAATGCCTTGGCAGGGCCAGACCAAATGATTTCACAGGCCTTATACAGCCCACGGGCCAGAGGTTTCCCACTCTGGCATGTTTAAAATTTTTAAATTACTTAAAAGTCATAGGCCTTAGCTACATTTTCTTTTATGCCACATAATAAATTTCCTATTAGATAAAAGGTTATCCTATATTACCAGAAATGGCATTGTGAGAAAGTGCTTACAATCAAGGTGAAATTAAGATTTAAATTTATATTCTTCAGTGAATATGCATAGGAAAAGCCTTGAAAAACACAGTATACAGTACTACCAGTAATTATTTCTGGGTAGGTAGAATTATTATATTTTTTACTCATTGCTTGTTTTTTTTTTATAAAGAACCGCCTGTGAATAAGACAAAGAATTTAAGAAACTATCTGTTTCATTCTGGTTTATACACACTTACCTGTCCAACTAAGTCCCAGGTGATCGGCTACTATTGCCATCCTGATATCTGTCCGTTCACATGGACTCTGTGGACCTACGATTTACAATTTCTTAATTAAAATAATCATCAAGAAAAACAGGATACTGGAAAATTGCTTTGAGCAGTACTCAGATTTTACAGAGAGACTAATGCTAACACTGTACACTTAAATGTGTCCTAATCACCTACATGAACACCTCTTTCCACAGGACTCACTTGGTTTTCACCTGCATCAGGCCAAATGTCAGACTACATGGATGCTCAATGTAATGGAATTGAACATGCTGACAGGCTAGCTACTTTACAACATTACAGAAGTGTTGTGTTTGTGAAAACACCATGATGGGGTTTCAACTTCTGTGCTTTTACTTTCACAGAATCATATCCGTTAGCACATTAAAAAAAATTTGCTCATCATGAATGACACCAATATCTTCAGCATGCTTCCCTAGCTGTCTATGGTGTAGTTTGGTTAGAAGGAAGAAAGAGGAGTATATATAAACAGCACATACAGATGACAATGACAGAATGAGAAACTACGGTTAAGTCACTCCACAGGCAATCACAACAGTTCATGCACTAGGGTCTACGAGTTGGAAAGTGTTTACAAACTAGGCTCGTTCTCCAGGATGTGAGCAAAGAGTGCTCGAGAAACCTGACTGCCTTCATTCTCACCAGTCCTCCTACTGCTCCTTTTCTCACTGCCGGCCTTTTCACTCTTTGATTTTAAAGGTGCTGCCTCTGTTTTCTTATCTCTAGCAGACTTCGTTGTAACTGAAGGCTGGCCACCCCGGGAACTCTCGGACAACGACGTGTTTCTTGAGGTACTGTCTTCCTCATCCGACACCTCGGACTGCATCTTTTTTTCTTCTTCAGAGAGGCGGTCCACAAGCTTTAAGGTCTCACCACTAATTCCCTTAAAATATTCAATGGAATGTTTACAAACTTCCTTAAGCTGACTTTTCCTGACTTGAACTGTGGTGGTAGCATTGGAGGTGGTGACACAGGTGGATCTTACCTTTACTGGCAACTTGGATGGCAGGTGTTTGGCCTTGTCTTTCTCTGGCTGCCCTTGCTTTTGTGGGGTGCATGCTTTTCTAACTGAAGCTGTGTTATCCCTGTGTGTGTTTTTTACTGGAATTCTGGACTTTACGTCTAGACATGAAGAAGAGGTAAGGGTTTTGGTTTTCTCAGATGGACTAACCTGCTTCATTTTACTCCCTTTCATGTTTGGCATATGATTTGGTGGGAAGGTATCTTTTGCTGAAGTGGCCTTTATGGGAAGTTTGGATTTGCGCCTAATCCCTACCGGTGCCTGTGTCTTTTGCTGCTCTCCAAGCACTTTCTGCTTCTCTCTCACACAGTGTCCCTGTGGCACCCCTGTCTTTTTTCCTGATGAGCTTTTCACTGGATTAGCTTTCTCTGTGGTACGAGTGGGTGCGGCGTGTTCTGTCAGAACTACGTTACTTGTAATGTTATCTGTCTGTATAGTGGAAGAATCCAAATTGTTGTTGTTATTAAAGTTATCTTTTTGAAAATCGTGTTTTTCTTGGGGCCTAGCACCCGTGTGGCTATCGGCTGAATTTGAAACCACTGTTATAGTTTCATTTTCTAATCCCTGACAACTGGTCATCACAGCTTCTATCTTATCTGTGACTTCTCCAGGGCCTTCTTTCTTCATGGTCATGGTGGACGCAGAAATCCCCATTTTTATAGGCGTGCGCAACTTGGGGTCAACTTTCAAGGTGTTAGTGGCTGCTGCTGACTTCTCCAGGGAGGCACTACTGGGTGTGCCTTCCTGACACTCTCCGCTGGTCGGGATGCTGGGTTTAGGTTCGACCGCAGGTGCCTCTACATTTCTCTCTAGATTGGTTTCTACAGTGGTGTCCCCTGACTGTGGCTGTGGTGTGGCAGTGACCATACTTTTATCCCCTTCCCCCTGGTCCCCTGACTTCCCTTCAGAAGTATGCTCACCAATCTGGAAAAATTGGAGCCTCTCTTCAACAAAATCCCTCTTGCTCATGTCAATTGCACCACTGCGAGTCATCTCAAACATTTTTCCTTCATGAAATGGGAAGGGGTTAGGCTCACTAGTTGGGGTACTTTCATCGGTTGGCGTTCTGGCTGGCGTTGTATCAGGGGTTGTTGCCGGAGAGCGGTCTTCCACAGCCAGACCAAATGGCTTAGTTTCATCTTCCCGGGATTTACTGTCAAAAACTTCATCATCCCCTCGGTTATTAGACCAAGGGTCAAAATCTAGACCTTTGGTAGCTACTGTTTTAAAAGGAGTGGCAAATTCTTCATCTACTTTGTAACTGAAATAAGTATCAGGAAACACTGATCTGTCAGGATGTCTGCCTTCTAGGGTGAAAAACTGGGCCCCTGACTTCTGATCAGTCTTATTAGGAGTCTTTTCGGACGAAGAGCTTTTGGAAGATGGCTTATCTTCATCTGGTCCCACCCTGCCCTCCTCCTCGATGACTTCAAGTTTACTTTGGCTAAAGGAGCGATCAGCTGGCTTCAGAATGCCCTCTGTGTTCCAGATGTCTTTCTTAATTTCCATGGTCTGACTTGGGAGTTTGGAATCACTCTCCGTCAAGCCATCATCTTCATCTTGCAGGTCATAGCCATCAAGAGAATCAATCTCTGTGGCATCTGTATCATGAGAAAACTCGGCCGTGGTAGCAATGGAACACTCTGTGATGGACTGGTCGTTGTTCCCATTCTGGGCAGTTTCATTCTGAGGCGAATCAAGGCCAAATTCATGATCTTTTCCAGATCCATTAGTTTCTAATTCTTTCTGGTTGGAAGCCTTTTCAGCAGAAGCTTTGGGTTTTGTCATTTCTTTTTGATCACTGTCTGCTTCCTTTAATTTGAAGGTGTATTTTTTAACTGGAACTGGTTGATAAAGTGATTCATCATCGCTCGAATCACTGACGTCTGCCCCAGGAGGAACTGGGGAGGGTGGCTGCACTCGGATGACTGGCTCAGCCAGCTGGTACTTGTCCTGCTCATCTTGCAGACTGACTTCAATCATGCCAGCCTCTCTTTCAGGCAGAGAAAGATCCTTCTCCGACTCCATCTGGTCTGCATCCAGCGGCGGAGGAGGGGGAAACTCGATATAGGCAACTCTGTTGGTTTTGGGTCTTTGGTTAGAGTCTTTGCTCACACTGCTAGGCAATTGGTGCGCGCCTATTATCTCCTCCACTGTTGTCTGCTTTAAGGAGGACGACTTGCCCTGCTCCTCCTCCTCCGATTCCTCAGAAACCTCGGGAATTGGGCTGGGTTTACCTGGTATATAAGCTATGAGTGAGTCTGGTGTCTTAGACGTAAATTCATAACTCACTTCCTCTGAACTGGGTGTTTCTGGGGTTAAAGGGCTTTTCCCAGAGCTGTCTAGAAAGGAAACTTGCTCTAGAGTATCATCTTCCGGACTACCTTGGGGAGAAGGAGGCTGCTTTTGCTGTCTGGTTGTATAAAAGGTCCCCCTGGTCTCTTGTACTGTCTTACATTCCTGACTGATGATTTTTTTCACACTTCCTTGTTGTATCTCCTTTTCATACTGCTTCCCCACCTGTACGAAACTGACATAAACAGGTAAAGTTTTTATCTCTTTCCCTCCCTCTGGCGGGGCTAGTGGTGCAACTTTTTCCAATCCATCAATGGGACTGTGGTCGAATACTTCGCTAGAGGGAGATTCTTTTCCTGGGCTAAAGTCTAGAGAATCAGGAGATTTGGTGGGGGAGCTTTCAGTTTCATCGAGAGAGGGGCATAAGCCTACATAACTCTGATGTTTGGAAACTTTGCTGATTTCTGAATAGGTAACTTTTTCATCTTCTAGAGAATTAAAGTGCTGTGTCTCCACTGTCTCTTTGTGACTTGACTGGGGTGACTTTTGTGATAGTTCATGCTTTGGAAATGGCGACTGCTCACAAAAACCAACGGGAACATGAGAAGACGGCATTCTCCGCTCATCGGCCATCCTGACTGGGATGTGCGACACCGCCGAGCTCTCACTTCTCCTGGAAGGTTGATCGAGAGCCCCGCCAGGACGGTCCCCTTCTTTCACAACATATTCCCTGTACAAGACCTTTTTGGAGGGAGATTTTACAGTCATTTCCTTAACTTCTGAGAGAGAGCCATTTGTTAACAATTTGTGTTCTCTCTCAGTCACAGACACAAATTCACTCCTGGGATCAACAATTTTACTCTCAGGGTGACCAATGTGATTCTCTCTTACATCATGAACAAGTACATGCGAAAGCTTTTCTTTCTGCGACTTATTGTTAGCGGCTCCAGAACTTTCCCACGTTCTAAAGACCTTTTTGTCCCAGGGTCCCTTAGTTGCTAAATCTGAGGTTACATGACATGTCAAGTCTTTCGCCTGTTGCTCAGAAAAGTAGTCAGGCATCGCTTTACTTGACATTTCAGTTCTCTGTTTTTTCACATCATCAGAGCCAGAATCATTTACAACAATTTCACTGCTTTGCTCGGGCTCATCTTTAGCTTTTAATACCATAAAATCTTTTTGGACAGGTACTCTTTCATCTGAGAGGTCTATGGCCTTCTGCTGTTTTTCTCTAGCAAAAAGTTGGTAGACGGGTAGCTTGCTCTCCTGCATTTTTTTAACTGGGATTCTGGATTGGCCATCTGGCTTCTTGTCCTCTTGAGTCACGTCCTTACTTCTGGCCTGTGCACCTTGTTCAAATTTTAATCTAATGGAGCTCAGTTTAGATTGTTTGAGCTGAAACCCAGACTGGGGCCCTTCTGGTGCTTTGCTCTGTGGCACGCTTCCTTGGGCTTCCTCCGTGGACTTGCTGTCCTCAGTCTGTTGGGACAGAACCTTCTTCTCCGGGCTGCTGGGCAGACTGGACGCTTTCCTCTCACTGGCTCTGGGGAGGCTTTGTCCATCACGGGCATGCTGCCTCGCCTTAACCCACTCATCGCTGGATGCCAACAGTTCTGTCAGCGTTACTTTCTCGGGGCTGCTACTGGTAGAGCTTTGAGAAGAGTATTCCTTGCCATTTCTGGGGCGTGCCTTTTTCTCTGGGGACTGCAGTTCATCATTGAGCTTTTCGGTTTTGTCACGAAAAAACTGTGACACTTCAGTCAGTTTTTCTTCAGCTTCCTTCACAGTCCTGTCCACCCTATCTTCATACATCAACTTCTCTCTACCTCTGTCTAATCTGTCCTCAGTAAAGCGCATCCACATGGCATGTTTTGGACTACTACCATCGCCAGAATAGTGCAACACTGTCACTTTATCAAAATGCTCATCTTTAGACACTTTACCTACACCATTTTCAGACACATCTTTATAGATTTTGGAGAGAATTTCTTTTTTGGGGGCAGTGACTACTTTTTCTCTGGACCGCTTATCAGACCCCTGTAACTCTGAGCTAGAGGGTCCTGCATGGTCTGTCACCGATTCCTCAGTATCGGAATGAGACACATCTAGCTTTTCTGACAGAAGCATTTTCTCAGCAAACCTGTAAGACTCCCCTCTTAGTTCTGACAACTCATCGTCATGGTATTCTATTGAGTGTTGACTCAAAAGCTTCAATGTTTTATAAGAGTCATCAGATATGAGTTGAGCAGAACTAGGGCGACTATCTTCTTCTTGGGACACAGGAGTGTTTACTCTGGAAGACTCCAGATAAGAAGGCAAGGACTCTTCTGCAGTGAGTTCTTCCTCTTCTTGCTGACCCTGTTCCTCTGAACAAGGAAAAGCATCGTGTTTTTCTGGCAGAAAATCTTTTAGGTTAACATCTCCCCGGGATAAGTCTTTCTGATACACATACATTTCCTTTTCTGGATGCTTTTTGGTTTCTCTAATAATGACTTCAGTAGGCTCAGCTTGGTTACCTTTTTCGATGTGGACTTCTATTATACGCTCCAGTTTGGGTTTCATTTGGTTGTCCTTCTCTGCGTGCTGGGCTGAGGTTTCAGCAGCAGACTTGTGAACATCTGGGGCCACTGCCGACTTATGTTCAAACAGACCTGCCAGTTCTTTGGAAGGGTCCCGCCCGGACTGAAAGGCCTTCATGATGTCATGGACCGACATGGTTTCTTCAATTCTTTCAGAGGCGCCTTCGCTGCCTGGTGGAGAATGATAAACCGTCCTGGTAGTAGTGGTTATGTGTGTCTCTTCTTTGACACGCATGCCTTTGCTCAAAGCTCGACTGTGGTCATCTTCATCACTACTGGCTTTCATTTGAAATGCTTTAACTTTTTCTTTAATACTGGAAGTGCTGGGCTTGGGTTCTAATTCCATAAACGTGGGTGACGGTTTGGGTGACGCGGGTTCCTCTGGTTGGGACTGGGAAGCCTCTCCGGCCGAGGGCTCATAGCTCCTGATAACATGAACCACTTCGGTTCTCGTTTCTGTGATGACAGGAGGGATGGGGACTTCGTGAAAAAGCGGCTTGGGACCAGTGCTTTCAGCGCTCTGTGGGGCTGAAGGTGTTTTTTCACTTCTCGTTTCAAAGCCACTGTCAGACAAGGGACTTTTATCTTGGTCATGCTGAGAAAAGTCATCTGGAGACTCTAAAATAGCATCTGTTCCAAAAAAGGAATCGGCCATTTTACACAATTCCTTCTCGGAGGTGGAAGGCCTCATGGAGGCAGGAGGCATTTTGAGTTTGTGTTCCTGCAAAGCAATTGCTGGTTTTAAAATTCTTTTCTGTCTCTCTTCACCATCTTTCTTTGCATCCTCAAACTTGTACTTTAAGTTTGTCAGTGAACTACTCCCAATATCATTCGCTAGGTAATCAATCACCTTGGTCAAGCTGTAATCCTTATCGGAGGCAGCTTTTGCTTTGACTTGCACTCGCTCGGGCAGAGTGGGAGAACGGCTCGCAGCAGTTTGCTGTCTCGCTTCTCTTATTTCTTCGGAACTGAATTCTATCCAGTCGTCTTCGGGAGAGTGTCCTTTGTCACTCTTTGGTGATTTGGGTGGTCCTTTATTATCGACACACACATCTTTTTTAAGGATTTCGCTAACTTTCACTAAGTCTTCCTTTACTTTCTCAACAATTTTGAAAGGTTCTTCGTCCTCCACTCTCCCTTCTTTGGGGAGTTCATGCTGGAATGGCTTCTCCTCAGGCACATCTGTTTGTAGTATTGCTGTCATCCGCATGAGGTCCTCTTTCATTTCAGCCACGTCTTTTAATATCTCCTGACTGGAAGATAAAGAAGATGGTGCAGACAACTTAAGGGCAGAGGGTGCAAGGAACAAAGATGACTTGACTGGGGATGAAGTTCGATTGAAATGGGGCTGAGGACGTGACTCCGTAGTCAATGTTTTAATGGGGGACAGCAAGGCTGCTGCTGATTTTGCAAGTGAATTAGAGTCTGGGAGTTTCTTTAATGCTGGTTCTGGCAAAACATTGACTACAGAGTATACTGGCACTGTTATTACCGATGAAGTTACAGATGAGGTAGTTGCAGATATTGACGACCCAAGGGATGCATAGAGTGCACTTGCGGAAGGAGTTCTGAGAGACTGAAAAGCTGATGGTGCTGAAGAAACATATGACCTGAGTGGGGAAAATGGCATCGCTGTCGTAGAAAACACTTTCTCAACTGTTTCTGTGGCGGCATTAACCACAGCGCTTACAGAGTTTGTAGCTGTAGAAATTTTTTCCTGTAACGTGGCAGTGGCTTTGCATCCGTTAATTAAAGTTGAAGATGATGGATATTTCAGAGGGGAAATAGATCCATTGACTAATGCTACCTCTGCATGTCCAGGCATCTGCTTCACAGGAGATGAGAGAGAAGAGGCCATCGTAACTTTCGCCGATGAAATGATATCAACTGCTGATTTAGCTGGAGACACCACTGACTTTAAAGGCGAAGATATTAGCGGCGCTGCTGATGTAATGATTGACTTAAATGGCAAACTTGAGGAATACATATTAATGTTTGACTTGGGGGAGGCCGGGGGTGTCATAGTAATGGATGACCTCTCCAAAAGAGACCCTGCTGTAGTCACTGGAGAGGTTCGAGAGGAAAACATGGAACTGGACGGCAGCCCCTTTAAAGGCGAGGCCTCCGTGACTGTGGGCGCTCTACCCAGGGTACCAGAAGACACTTGGATATGGTATGGAGATTGTGACACCACTGTTTTTATTGGCGAAGAAATTGTCCGAAAGGATCTAATTGGAGATGCCACATCACTAATGGATTTAACTGAAGATGTAGTTGACGCGCCTAATGTGGATTTGATTGGAGAAGGAGTCGAAACGGACCAAATTGATTTTAACGGAGAAGCTGATGGCGTATTTGAGGAAGAACTTGATAAGGAAGTGAAGCCTGACTTGGCTGGCCCGGGCACTGTGATCGGAGCTGTGGTCCAGGACTGGTATGGTCTTGTAGAAAAGAATGGCTTGTATGAGTAAGAAGTGGGGAGGGATCTTGTTGCTCCTGCACTCCGTTCAACTGTTTCTTAAATTTTAAAATGAAATCAAACACAAAAATCAACAAAAATGGTTGAGAAACAGAGAGACCAGAGAAAAAAATTGGTCAGTAAACTTTGAAATATTACAAAAGCAAGTACAATTGTTTGCATGATTTAGAATGGAAGAGGCAAAGGAACAATTAAGCAAAAGAGGGAAAAAATTTCTACAGACATAACTAGTCCAAAGTAAAAGACATACAAAACACTAAATAAATAAAAAACAGAGCAATGTGAAATGAAAGACAGAAAAAGCACGTCGCAACCAAATAGGCCAACAATGAAAATTAGGAAACACAAGGAAAGAATTAATGATGAAAAATAACCACAATGGAAAACTGTTCCCTTACTTCCTATTGACTTTCTTATGTGCTGGTTTTAAAATATCAGTAGCCATTCTGTTTTGCCTGTATAGGCTAATGTTTGTTTTGTGCAACCATAAAACTCTCATTTTAGTAATTTCTAATGTTTCCTCGCCTTGAACCATATCAATGTGTGTAGCTCTATGTTAAATATCTAAAAGTCTTTTTTTAGAAAACCACTCAAGCCTATTTCATGCAGAATCCAAAATAACTTTTAAGTGACAGGCAACTGATGTGCAAACCGTGAAGCCACTGGATTTTAAGTCTGCATCTTCCATGCACAGTTCGGTTACGCTTCACACCCATAAAAAGCCAATAAGAGCAAGAAATTCTCTGAGTCAGAATTTTAAAAGAAAAAAAAAACAAAGAAAAGGAATGTTTGCATTTATCTTTTCCATGCAGTATATTCCTTTTGGTGAGGAAAAAAAAAAGTGATATGAAATGATTTTAAGATGCATGTGTACACACACACACATAAAAGGGAGAAGAAAAAAAACCAAAATATGGTTCATGGTTACCATAAGCAAGCAAAGCAACAAAACATTTTATCATGCGCAATATATCATGGCAAACAAGCCAATGAATACAATTTTTATGCCATAGTATGCACAATATATAAACTTTAAAAATACTTTCACAAGAGCATTGAGAAAGAAGAGTACACTTTTTCCATGAGATGTGAAGTCTTGGTACCTTTTGAGATTTTAGGAAAATATTTAATACTGCATAGTAAAAATACATCTGCAACTAAACATATCCATGTTTGGTGTTGTCGTCATTATGGATAAAAGCACACATTTTATCTCATGTTTTTTTTCATGATATGTCATACTTTTAATTCTCAAAAGGTATCATGGGGAAAATCTAAAAAAGCACATTCATATTTTTAACACCCCATATTTAACTATCTACAGTGGAATACAGTATTTTTTTGTATATGGATGTCAATGGCAAAGATCCCTTCCCGGAATATTCATGGGACTCATGGATACCCCAAACACTGGAGCAGCCATGAGGCAGACCTACCACTAGCAAAGATGGATTTACTACCAGCATTCTGCTGGCAACGGGACAAGAAACACACAAATGAGGTAAGCACACTCGCCAGGGGAGAGCAAACACACACTTAGTCCTCTCTACTTCTACAATTCTGACAAATCGAGCTGGTCAGAGATTTGGAATGCCTGCCAAGGGTAATGTGTATGTCAGAGTGACTGCACTGGTTCAGAACAAGAGTGAACCGCGAAGAGGAAATGAGAATCTGCTTCATCTTTATGCTCCTCTTCAGGCTGTGCTCGTGCCATTGCTACAATCCAGTCCTTGGATTAGCAGCTACTCCCACAAGGGTGAAGGTTTTCATTCCTAGTGTACATTTAAATTCAAACATTTAGAACATATCCTTTTCTAGACTGGCATATTGTTCTAAGGAAAAGTGGAAGAACTAAGGAAAAACTCACCCACTCATTACCCCTCCTAGCCATAATTCTCAATATAATATTGCTTAACTCTGTTAGAAATACCACACTACAAATGAAGGGTTTGGGGATTCCTTCAATTCAGTGATCTGGGCTCAGTCCAATGTCATGGCTCAAGAGAATCTATCTTTGTAACTACCAAAAACTGGTGAAGCATCTCTCCTTTACCACTGAAGGCTAGCTCATCAAACAAAGAAGTCTTCTGAACAACCTCTATGGTTTTATACCTCGCACAAGCAGCCAACTTACTGTTCAATTACATGTTGTGCTTTAATGACACATATTTTGTAGTTCCCTTTATAACAAAGGCAATTTCTGGATGTCAGGCACTGAATTACACCAGAATTTTTTTTTGGGGGGGGGGGATTTACAGTTAGAAAGGACAGGTAGTTAGAGAAAAGCTGCATTCACTTGGAGTTCTAACACCAATTCAGGGCCATGACTTTTCCTTAGTTTCCTTAGCTCCTTAATACTCCTTTCCATTCCTCTGTTCACCACGATTCTGCTCTCTTTCATAAAAGAGAGAAAAACATCCTTGTTGCTCTATCAAAACTCAAGGAAGATAACCTACATACACCTTAACTGACACTAACCAAAGAGTAGCAATACTTTCATAAATTGGAAAAATTCAATCGACTTAGCATATACCTGACCTTACAACTCATGTTTGCCACAACCAATACCTTAGGGACCAGAATCAGATGTGAGCTGGCCTACCCAAGGTACTTCTGTCCTAAAGTAGCTGGTCCATGGAGCTTAAGGCTATGGCCTAGGAGTCCCAACCAGCTACGCAGTGAGGGTCTTAGCTGGGTGGGGGGGGGCGGGCAAAACAGTATTCCAACAAAGACATCCACCCAGGAGATTTAGTTACTGAAAAAATCATCTAGTTACATACACATCTTTCCTGCATTGTAGCACAATGGGAGTTAATTTCAGAGAAGGTGGGAAAAACCAAAGTTGTGGCTCTCACTGACAAATTTTCAGTCCTCCCTAAACTCAAGTCATATGAGTTGAGAAACAGCTAGAAATTATTCACTAATTTGGAAATATTTTTTTGTATAAATCTTCCTCTAATGTTTAAAGTGGCACCACTACATCAATCAAACACAGTGCAGTTCTCACACCCTTAGTTCCTATTGGTGGAGGGGTTATATTAAGGGCTGCAATGATCAACACAGGTGATAACCACATGGATGAGGGGAGGGGAGGCAAAGAGAGAGGGAGAAAATGAATATGATTGAATGAATCTATACCTTGATACTTTTAAACCAGTTAACAATGAACCAAAACAATCACTGAGAGAAGAGTCTAACCAGTCTAGTGAAGACCAGCCTTTAGAACACATTTAATAAAGGGCTGGGGAGGGAGAAAGACAGAGAAGGAGGGAAAAGAAAGTCAGTAAACCCATGCTACCTCAAGAAGGTAGGAAAATACCATTCTTTCAAAGTGGGCAGAAAAAGAGGCAGGACTAAGACATAATGACCTATGTAGATGAAGAAAAATGAGATGACAACTAAAGTTACTTTCTCATCTTTTTCTACCATCCCACATACATAAAAATAAATATTTTCTCTTTTGAGCATAGATTTAAAACAGCATCGGTTCAACATGATCTCCTAGCATAGTTAACAATCAAAGTGAAACCATGGTTTTTTAAGATAGGTGATTTTAAGTAATAAAAATGGTTAATGGCTTTTAAAAACCTGTTTTGAAGCTATGACCTAGGGGTGTTTGTGCCTCATATCTTCAACTATGTACAATATATTCCTTAGATTTCATGGTGTTACTTAGATTTTCATGGTAAAGTTTTCTTGCAGGCAATTTTTCTTTTGCCATTGGGTTTTCAAATGACCCCCAAATTCTGACTGTATAGAAAAAATGTCTCTTCTTATAAAAATCTGCATAAATTAATAAATGTGTTAGAAAACTCACTCATTCCAGGATCAGTCAAGTAGCTGTAGCGCTTACGTAAAGCTAAAGATGCAAAGCTCTGTCGTTTATCTGCTTTCTCGGCCTGAAAAGGAAAAACAAAGACTGTGTCCAACATTTTTGTGACATTTCATAGTTTAGAAACATTTTGTAGGATGTTATGTTGATATCTTGTTTATCCTTATTTTTTCTTCGTATGAAATTTCCTCATTAAAATGTGATTCTAAAAACCCACTCAATGTCTCAAACAAATAGCCATCATTTAGCAAATATATGAGCACCAACACAGCAGACTACAGGGAACTACAGATAAAAGACGAGAGTTACAGAGACTTCTGATGCTGAACAGTAAATTTTCCCCAATTAATTAGGCCTCAAAACACATATATCACAATGTGAGTACATTCCAGGAAAAAAGGCACACAAAGTTTCTTATTCTGATTACTGCTGTTGTTTCAGTGTGTTAACAGGCAGAAAGTATAGATGAGAAGATTAAAAACAGGTTAATGGTTTCATTAGGAATGTTACTGAGTCTTAAGACTGCTGATTCTATAATTATGGAGGTGTGAGTTTTAAAAATCCTATTATCATCTAACTTGGAGAAATATTTGGAGATAACTTGAATAACTATATCCTTAAAAATGGCCAAGATACATTTCTTTAAGTAGAATATAAAATATTTATCAATAGCCATTGAGCACATATTTTATATTATGTAAAACATAGGTTGATTCATATAATTAAATTTCATATATTACCCATGATCTTGATTTAAAAGTTATAACACAGTTGATACTAGGTGAAAATGTAGATTTTGATACATGCCAATTACATTTAAAAATGTTTAAAGGACTTGAGTTCAACTTTTTAAATTATTATTTGGATTATGATTTTACTGAATATACTCTTATGCGTATGTGGATGAAGAATGAACTATTCTTTAAGAAAAATATATACCCTTTACTCAAGCTAAAAAAAAAAATACGTTTCCCATACTTCGGCCTGCTGCAACTTCTTTTATACAGATTCAATTTCTATTCTATCTCTGATAGAGTAAAAGCAGAAGTGTTCATATTACCTCATCATCTTGATCTGACTCTGTCTCCTTTTCGTTCCAAGATGCATTGCAGAGACAAGGAATATTATAATGGACAGCAGAAAAGAATATCAGGATATGAAAAGGACTCAGTAGGAGCACAAAATGCAAGCTGATTTAGAAGGCAAAGCAAATAAAAAAAAGCCAACAAAATGTATCAAGAACAGTATATCCATGGCAAATTAATGTGTGATGCCCTTTAATCATAAAAATCTATGAACTACCAGCAGAAGCAGAAGCAATAAACAGAGGACTCCATCATACAAACCATAAGAATCTGACACCACAGTAACGAGACTTAGTCTACACAGAGACCAATAGAACTTGAGTTTCAAGAGCTTCAATCATGTTACATAGCATTCCTTAATTGCATACCAATGGCCCACTTCTTCAAGACCAGGGAAAGAAAGTGAAAATAAACCAATACCAAAAGATACCTTTTTATGTGCTGGCAGAGTGATATTTAAGTTGCAGACAGCTGTTTGAGGCAGTCCTTTTGTTGTCTTTGGTTCTTTCAGAAAAGACAGACGACCACAGGGCTCTTGGCTGGTGTCTCTAATCTAGAAGAATTTAAGAAGAATTTAAGAATTTATGTAGAAATAGACTTTTCTAAGGAATCCTGTCTTTATAAGAGTCAAGCATGTTTATTTTATGGAGACCTTCAAGAGGCAGGAAAATAAAGAGAAAAGATGATAACAATTACATGGCCACCGAGGTGGTCACATTTAAACTCAGCAAGATTTAGGATGTCCCATTCCAAGTCTAAACAGAGGATTGTTGTGTCTGGGTTCCATGCATTTTCTTCCTGTCTCATAATTTCTTTTTCTCAAATCCTCAGTCTTAGCAACACGAATAACAGCAAATAATAATGACAGTAAAATCATCGTCCTATATCCTTCTGTTCTCTGAGGAAAAAGCTTCTCCAAGAAGGTCAGAAATGAAGGTGAAGCTTGAGTTCTGACTTTCACTTTCATCCATTATTTGATTACTGAGCAATAACTAGCTATGAGGCATTTTATTATACTAGAGTATTTGGTCTCACAAACATTTGCTTGACTATTTAGCTGTTGAAAAGGTAAGGACTTTTAAAACTAATTATAAAGCTTTCCTATCTGGAAAGTACACTCAGGTAGAACCAAGACAAAATCTGACCTTGTTCCTATGACTTCAAGTTTGGTGGAATATTTCAAACAGAATAAGTGATTAGGACATTCACAGAATCGCTGCTGATGAGGACTTACCTTGATGGAAAATGGCAGTCTATTTTCTTTGAAAGCATAAAAGTTAAAAACAAGTTGCTGTCCTCCTTTGGTCAGTGGAGCCAGATTTCCATAACAATCAACATAAATAGGTTTTCCTTCCAGAACCTTTTAGAGTAAAAGAAATACATAATTTAATATTAACTTTAATTAAAAGAATTTTGAGATTTTTAAGTCACATTGACATTAACTGAATGACATGTTTCTATGTCACATTTGTCTCCTTATTAGGGCATTACTTCTATAGTCCTATTTGCCACAAAATTAACTGTTTGGGCTCACAATTCAATAATTGTGACTGGAAACTATTATGGACTCGTATAAGACAAAATCATATATTTCTATTCTAGCAACTTTAAACATGTTTGAGAAAGTATCTGACATCAATCACTTGTTCAGATAGACTTTGAAAACTTGTTCCAGTTTTTTTTACTCTTATCTGATATCTGGGTTTGAAAAAGCAAAATCATGGTAATGTGTACAGACAGTGACCATAAAAATAAGATAATTCAAGTAGCTACAGGAAAATGGAAACCATGACTTAGATTCATTAGTGCTATTTTTTTAACCAACTAAGATAACCTTGACAACATTTAAAATAATTTGAGAATGAATCTATATTGTATTTTTAAAACAAAAACTAAAATCAATAATATACTTGATATTTATAGTGAGCACTATTATGGTCTCAAAATAAAACTTCAAAACTTCGTATCTGGGGGATATAATTGAATGAACTTGTTCTGAACAAGGTACCTCAATATCTTTGCTTCTTGCAACTTCCTCAAAATTCTCTTGCTGCTCTAAAGTTTTGTCCACTTTGTCATCTGTCATGCAGAAACACCGCAGGGAGGATTCCACAGGATCATTCATTTTGGCAAAAACAACAAACTTGGCCATATATGGAACACATATTAATTCTCTGTACAGTTGCGTGGCTAACCCCACAGTTTCTAAAACTTGATGGCAGTCTGCAAGCCAAAATCTGATAAAAACAAAGCCAAACCAAAACAGAACAAAATGTAAGTATGGAAATGAAGTGACTTAAACGCCAAATCTTAAAAAAAAAAATTCACCATTAAAAAATCAGAGTATAAAGGGAACTAAATTAAAACATTGACTTGTGCATCTAAACAAACAGCAGGATGTTTGCTGCTTATCAAACAGAGAAAATGCTAAGATTCTCGTTCTCTTTCTTTCCCATAAAATTCTTGTTTCCCTCTAACACATACCCATATATGGTAAGACTTCCTTTCTACTGCTGTTTTAAGAGTTTTTAATCTATAACTTTACAATTGGAAGGAGCATGAATTTTATGAGAGAAAACTATCAGTATTTATAAATTAAAGTTGCTAAGAAATTTTACTAGAAGAATCCAGTCTAGTACCTTATAGCTTCCTACAAAAACTGGGCTTAATGACTTATCACAGTGAATTTTAAATTTCTAAGTTAGATCCAACTTAACTATCAAAACTGTAAAAAATAACCATACTGGCATTGAGCACAACAATTTTTACTTTCCAAAAGCTAATAAAACTAATTCCTTATTGCTTTTTGGAATCCTTTATTTCCATACCTGGCTGAAACATTGGTTGTAAAAGAGGCACAATCCTTTATAAACGTCAAAGGAGTAGTTCCTGTGATGTCTTCCCACTGAGCCGGTGAGGTGCCCCCTAAGAGAACAGCAGCAGATATGGCAACTTTATTAACAGACATACTCCTTCTAATATTTGCATCATTATCCTGTTCTTCACGGTTTGCCAGTAGCTTGCAAAACTTTAACTCTTTCAATTAATGACATGTGCTAAAGGTTTTCTTCTTGACTCTCCTTTTATCCATTTGCAGGCTTATTGTGACTTCCTTGTAAGATATTATTCAACTTTTTAAAAATTACTTTTCTGTTTGTCCGGGTATTAATGAATGGCTTGAAATTGGGATAACCAATCTATAAGTGGATTTTACAAGTGTACTTTATAAGTGCCAAGATTTAGTGTTTCAGATAGACAATCTATTATTTTTTTTTAATGTTTAAAAAGGCAGTAACCATCAAGAAAGTTAAGAAGCAACTTATTTGTACTAGCTGAATCATATAATTTACCAGGGACTAAGGGTGAATCAGCCATTAAAATTATTCTTAAAAACAAAACAAACAAAAAAACGCAGTCTATCTTAATCTTGGGATTTTCAGTTAAAAATCACATTAGGTTGATCAAATGAGGAATCGAGCTCTGGATTCCAGGTGCTTCTCATAAAACATGTACTCCCGAAGTCCTTCAGTTTCCTGCAGTCTAAAGGGTGTTGCTAGGTTCACCACCTCTGTCTAGGTCACCGAGAGATCACCTAGATGCCCCAGCAGATGCAATAATATCTCAATCACCTTAAGAGGGCGCTATTGTTAATATGAAATTTAGTAGTAGGAAAAATGTTAATTTTAAATGATATCAACATCTTAAAGAAATTATTGGAGGGATAATAGAAATGAGGTGATGGACAAGTAAAAATGTCTTATTCTTTTTTTTTTCTCTTATAAAGTTGGCATGGGCATTTCAAAGGCTTTGTTTTCTTACAGAATCACTGCAAATGCTAGCATCAACAGCAGGTACAGCAACAACATAACCAAACCTGTAATGCTACAGAGAAGGCGCAGATTGGGTGTGGCGTCCCCCTTGTACCCGTTGGATACGCCTTCTCCCGAGGGCGGGGGCAACGGAATGGTCATTGTGATCGGTTTATGGAATTTCCTTCTTCTTGGTTCCACAGTGACAATTGGGCTAAATGTTGCTTTGTTTCCAAGGATCTTTTTCACAATTTCATCTGGAACAGGCTGGGCCTAGAGTCAAAAAAAGAACCTTAAGTGAAAGTGGCCATTTTTTTTTAATCTCATTGGAAAGTTGACTTTTTAAGTGAAGAGGAAATAACCAAAAACACACAACCAATAAATGTCTTTTTCTTCATGCATTCGCGTTATTTCAAGAAGGCGTAAAACAACAACAAACAAAACAAACCCCAAATAACCCAACACTGTAGCAGGAACCCGTCAGCCCTAATGTTGCCCCAATGTAACAGACAGCGTAGGCTTGTGTGACAGAGAGGGAATCCAGTCTCACAGCAGAGAAGCATCCTAGCCTAATCTAAACTAACAGACAACAAATACCGTGTCCAATATATTTAAAAACCTATGTGGGACATTCAGGAAAACATGACAAAGGCAACTTGCACCCCTGTAAAAACTGAGGTTTTTCAGAGTGGTAACGAAAAGGAAAAAAATCATGATTGCAAAGGATTTCAGATCTATTCTTCCAAACTGAAATTCTTCCTTTTGGTCTCTTTGCTACTGAATATTTATATGGGAGAGAGCTGAAGGGCACTTCATGCCAGTGGAATGGAAGGTGGTCTCTTTAGCTAGGTGTTTACTGAAGGCCTTCCCAGGACTTAGAGTGCTCAGCTCTAAAAACCCAACTCCTTGGGCATGAGAGGCAACTGTCAGTTAAATATTTTAAATACTCTATTAATTAACAACACAAATTAAGTCATTTCAGGCTATTTTCCTTAGTAAGAAAAAAAATACCGGTTAAGTACTGGTTCGGCCTAACTGAAATGTATAAATACATGAAAGACCTCCGTTGCCAAGATTTCCAGTCAGCTTTCCAAACCCAAACGAGTTCCAACTGGTTTGGATAAAGCCCTGCATTTACGATTTTACTTAAACCAAAATTTGAAAGCTTGCAAGTTTCACTACTGCTGGTTTTTATGATGTGGCGTGTCATAAACCAAGTCAAATATGGGTTGTTTCTTTAATGGTCCATGTACCCTTTGGTGCTTCTGTTGCTCCACATACTGAGACCAATAACCTATGGTTAAAAAAAGCGATCTCTCATCAGAAACCAGGTGATACTTTTATATGGGAAAACCCTAAACTATGTAACTTACTTCATAAGCCACTAAGCTAATTTTTAATTAATGCTTTTCATTTGAAATGGGTTAATGATTCTCCCTAATGGCCTCGTGCTTTCATCAGCAATATGAGAGGGAATCCACTGAGAGTTATGACAGTTGTTCCCAGAGTGGCACATGCTCCCCACCCTCTATATCAGTGGTTCTCAACCTTCTGGCCCTTTAAATACAGATCCTCATGTTGTGACCCAACCATAAAATTATTTTCGTTGCCACTTCATAACTGTAATGTTGCTACTGTTATGAATCGTAATGTAAATATCTGATCTGCAGGATGGTCTTAGGCGACCCCTGTGAAAGGGTCGCGACCCACAGGTTGAGAACCGCTGCTCTATCTGATCCCAGGAGGAGAACCTTGTGTGAACATTACCTGGAGGCCCACTCGGATTCTTTTGGTCAAAGCGCCCTCAGGGAAAGAAGCCTGGACCAGGGGCACAGTGGTGCTGCTCAGAATTCCACCTTCAGGACCAATCTGGTTGCTTTCCTGCTTAATCCGTGAAACTACTGCAAAATACTGGGGGAAATCCTTCGTGATAATCCTGCAGATTCGCTTTTTCCCTAACTCTTCTGGACTATCAAGTTCTGAAAAGACAAATGAATGAAGAAAGCCATGAGAATAAGCCTGCTTCCACAATACCTTGAGGCAAACGGATGTGCAATTTTGATAATTAAAATTACTTATATTCAGTAATCTAAATAGAGGGTTTTTTTTAATGATAAAGAGAAAACTACAGTTATCCTAAAATTATAACAAGCTTTGCAAAACTATTATAAAAATATTCACATACAGTACTTGAAAAGAAGAACAAAATCTTCAAAAATGGGAATTTTACCATATATGGACAAACTTCTACTCTTCAAAAAGGGACAGTTGATTCTGTGATTATTTATACATAATCTTCCCCTCAAGTTGCCAAAAGAAAGAATGAGTCAGAAAAAGTAAGGCCCCATAAGAAAGTGAATAAGGACGTAAGTATGTCTGAAAGGCTCTAGAATTTTGTTTGAAAACCTCTTGAAAATATTTTTAAATTACCCAAATGATAAGTAACATCACCACCAATGGTCCTCCCACATCAAACTCAACCAGCCACACATGAACACATCTTTTTGCTTTCTGTCCACCTCCAACCCTCCTCCTTCCCCTATAGTCCAAACTCCCGGAAAGGGTTTACTGTTTGTTCAGTCCTCTAGTTTAATAGCTTTGACTCACTTTCCTCTGTACTTTACATCTAAAGGTCAAAGTCCATTTGGTTCTTGATGTTTCAGAAATGGCTTCCTATCCTGTCACCCCCATGTTCAGGCTTTTGCCTAATTACTGAGACCACCTCCTAGCCACCTTCCTGCCACTTGTATCTCCTTACTCCAGTCCATTCCACCCAGCCACAGGCATGTTCTTTCAAAAGTCAGTACATGAGGTGGACATATATGTTGTAATATGTACTTCTCTCTCCAAGGCATATTACAGTCACAAAAAGTATAAAAATTGACTAATCACATCTTTACATGTCAATGTATACATTCATATAATTTATGTAAAAATTGGGGAAGGGGAAAAAAGAAGAGGAATAGTATAATATTATAATGAATGTATAGACATGCAATATTACTTGGGTAATAATTCTAACATGCTAGTATTAATATAACAATATAATATATACAAACAACAGACTATTAATGTTTTAAAGTAAATTCAACGCAAGTACATTTTTTTCTCTATTTCTTGCTTTAAAAAAGGAAAGTGAAACACAATAGTGAAATGACCTTAGCTGAAAGTTTGAAATCAGGTAACTAAAGACCCAGCTGGCTAACAGTTGCCAAGAGGGAATGAAAAGGCTCTGACACTCAGTTAAATTACATTAAATTAGATGATGTTTGATATTGAGGCCTGGCACATAGTAAGTGTTCAGTTCATATCCACTGAACAGAGAAATCAATTGGGAATTAATGAGACTCACACTTTTCATACCAAACATCTGGAATAATTCTTTAAAATATTGCTCTAAAATAGATGTAGTAGTGGAGACTGGTTATTATTTTAATAGTTTTTTAAAAATTAAAATATCATGTGAAAAAGTGGCTCTAGTCTTCCTGTTTTTTAAAAACACAATAAAATCTATGTCCATGTGTTTATAACTCAGAAATTAGTTTACTTACTGGATGTTTACCTGAACGGAATTAAAAACTCACGAGAATATAAAACTTCTAAAAATTCTGTGATATAATTTAAAAAGGTATACTGTGGTCCCCCTTTATCTGTGGGGGATATGCTTCATGACCCTTTTCCTATTCATACATACCAATGATAAAGTTTAATTTATAAATCAGACATAATTAGAGATTAACAATAATAACTAATAATAAAGTAGAACAATTAACAACATACTGTAATAAAACTTATGTGAATGTGGTCTCTCTCTGGTAACCAATCTGATAACCAAGGCGGCTACTGAGTGACTAACGGGTGGACAGCTTGGATGCCCTGGACAAAGGGATGATTCACACTCATGGTGGGACAGGGTGAGATTTCATCACACTACACCAGGGGTCCTCAAACTTTTTAAACGGGGCCAGTTCACTGTCCCGCAGACCGTTGGAGGTCCGGACTATAGTTTAAAAAAAAAACTATGAACAAATTCCTATGCACACTGCACATATCTTATTTTGAAGTAAAAAAACAAAACGGGAACAAATACAGTATTTGTATTTGCATGTGGCCCGCGGGCCGTAGTTTGAGGACCTCTGCACTACACAGAATGGCGTACAATTTAAAACTTATGAACTGTTTATATCTGGAATTTCCCACTTAATATTTTAGGATTGCAGTTGACTGCAGGTAGCTGACACTACAAAGCGAAACCATGGATAAGGGGGGACTCTTATTATCAGAAAAGTTAGATTTCCAGGCAAATAGTCATAAAGTCTGATCATGTGAAAATGGAACGTCAAAGTTCTTTCCATTCAGATTTTTAAATGCTCTATTACTTAGGCCAGAAGTAGGAATTACCAAGAATCTTTGCTTTGCTCCCACCCTTTACATGCAGATATACACCCTACACAGTTATCTGCAGCACAGATGCGATGCCTGAATCACATTCATACCCACAGAGAAGCCAGCTCCGAGTGCAGTGTACCCACAATGGCCAGGTCCTAAGCAACACCTGGGGGACATATTAAAAGCACAGATTCCTAGGTTTCTCTTGTGGAGATTCTGACTTGGTCGGCCAGGGGTGGAACCCAAAAATCTGCTTTTAACATTCAATCCCGGTGACTATGACTTGACTGACACATTAGGGAAGCAAGGTCTTGTAGACTCTCACCCTGCACGTCTCTTTGCAAATTCAGAACTCAAAGATTAAAAACATGACAACAAGATCCTATAAAAAACTCAAGGATGGTTCAATACGAGAAGAGCTTATAGGACAATAATAAATACCCATTACTTTTAAATGTTTTTTTTAAAACATATAATAAATCACCCCAAAGCGATAGTATTAAAGGATAAAGGGGTATAAATATCCAGAGTTTCTACCTTTTAGGTTGATTCATAAAGCCATAGAATATGAAAGGATCCTCCTTCCTCTTTTTCATCTGTTACTAGTAAAGTTTTCACCCACCCCCTCAAAAAAGATTAAAGGGAAAAGACAGAGGTGAGTTCTGAAGTAGGTAGTTCTGGCTAGGAGGAAGGCTAATATAGCATATGGTAGAGTAGGTGTCTGACTTGCAAAAGGTTTAATGACTTGCCCAAGTTGACTTTGTTGGTCTGCTTTAGGGCTGAAAATAGAAACTAGGTCTAGAAACAGGGTTGGGGAGAAGGCGTGAAGTCATATAGACATGTTGATAAATGGGTGGATGAATAAGGGGTAGATTTGCAAACACCCTGGTCCAAAAGGTGACATGCTTTGTTATTGGCCCACTCTATGAGCAGAAAGACTTTACTTAGTACCGTGGCACTTTTTGCCACAAAACACGTAGAAGCCAATGTTCTACAGCTTTCTTGCCTCACTGATTAATGATAAATTTCTTAAGCACCTTGTAACTCATTTAGTCCCCGTATTTGTAAAAGGTGGGACAGTGTTCTCTGCCACTGAGGTTTTAGAACAGAGCAGTAAGGATTATTAGATGCTTTTCACATATGAACAGTTATGGAGATTATAATACACTGAAGCATAAATGACAGAATTGAATTCATGTTCCCACTAAATGAGTTAGTCTTAAAGCTTTTGAATTATCATCGGATCAATTTTGCCTTACTCTTACATACACATGATTAAATGTCTCGATAATTTCTGGTTAGGCGTAAGTTCTACTCAGTTTGCTCCTCTAAGAATGAAATATCTGCTATGGAAGGGCAGGGGAAAAGATGAAACTTAGAAGGTTGGAATTAGAAAGGGCAAGCTAACTAGTTTTGCATGTCTACAGTATATACATCTGAATTGCTATCATTTTCATTTCATTCCATTTTTTAAAAATATTTTCAATTACAGAAAACGAAATATCAGAGAAATTGAGGGAAATGAAGGAAATAAAAGATAAATCGGTAACAGTCAACTCAAGCTACAGAATATATGGAACTTGTAATAAATTCAATGAAATATTTCAGAAAATTACAGACCTTTCTTTGGAATGAAAATTCAGCTCCATCTGAATAATGCAACTTTTGTACCAAGCCCACCCAAGATGTTACAGGGGAAAAAACAATAACTCAAGATGTAATTTGATCCTTCTTCCTCAAAGTAAAGATGATAGGAATCTTTTCAATTTTTGTCAACTTTTAAAATAATTAGACATTCATGGAAAGTTGCAAGGACAGTACAGAGAGGTCTCATATAGCACTTTCAGTAGTTTAACTCATATTCTTATTCAATTCTGGTATCTGCTTCATGTCTGTCTGGATCAGCATTACTTTGTATCTTTACCCAAGGTGGGACCTTCTTTGTTATTCATATGTGCACATGTATGAAGTGCTAATGACGCAGAATGTGTGGGAAAATGATATGCTTGTTTGTTTTTCTCTCCAGTTTTAACAATCCATATAATTTCTGACAATCATATGCCTTAAAATTAGAAAACTAATTGTGCCATTCCCCTGTCTCCTAGACCTCCCCTCCCCATTTGGTTGTGCATTCCTTCCTTTAAGTAGTTGCTTTTTCTCTTGGGTCTGGGTCTCAGAATGAATATCACCAAAAGTGGGTGCATATGCCTGGAGACAAATCATTTCTCCACTCTTTCAACAAATTATGATGAAGTGACAACACTGTGCCAAGAGCTGTTATCTGCACTGAGCATAAAGGCTGTCCACACGTCAGAGCCAGTCCTGCCCTCATGGACTTTACCGTCCACCAAGGAAGATAGCAAAGTTCAAAGCTCCTTGTTACAGAAGAAGACAGGCCGGGTGCTGTGTATTACCAGGTGGATCTAACTCAGTCTGGGGTTTAGGGAAGACTTTCTGGAAGAGGAGACACGAGGGACAAGTCCATATTATGTTATGGTTTAGTTAATAGCTTTTGGTATGCTTTTTTTTTTTGCACTCTTACCACAATCTTGATTTAAGTTCAATTTTTACTTTTTCTCCAGAATGTTTC